GTCGACTGTGCCCGCAACTGGCGCGCAATGGCGCAAGCCTGAATCTTCAGAACTCCAGTCTGAACAAACAACTCATTTCTACTTTTAAGTCTTTCCCGATGCATTCAAATTACTTGCAGGCGTACGAAATTACACATGTGTTAAATTCATTTTATTTCTGTGCCGACAGTTGCCTTGGGGAGGCACAGCACCCCTCCGTACCCCACCGGTAGCTACGCCCCTGGTTTTGGAACAAATGGGAAAGTTTTGTCACGCTGTTCGTAGTGGGGGTTGGAAAGATGAGGTTTGATGGACACCGCAGAAATTGGTGTTGGAAGTCAAATATCTCATCAGTTGCTCACATTTGAATCCTAGTATTCAGAAACTGCTGTCAAAGAATATACTATCAAATAAGTTGAAAACAAGTTCAATTTTTCTTCCAATATCGGTTTTGGAAACTTTTGAAGGCTCTTCGTATGCATCTGCCACCGTAAAATGGCCATTTTGAGACATTTTGAGACATTTTCAGATGATTTGTTTTTGCCGTGTGCAAGCTTCAAATCTTTTGTGCAAGAGATATTTTGTTGAATATTTATAAATCTTTTAGCTTGCCGAATTTAAAGTCTAAGTATTGAGAATTACGGCTAAGTCTACCAATTTCCGCGGTGTCGGTTTGATGAAGCTTTTTGAAATTTCCACTGTTGATGAATGCGATATGTTATCCGACATCAACGGAAAGTCGGAAATCGTCAATGTGATTGTCTCATTTTGTTTTATTTTATGTTACACGATTGGAGATTATTCAAATTACTCTTTTTAAAAAGAGCTTCTAAATGACAAATTTAATAATTTCAGAGTCATTTGAAAACTGTCTGCTTTTTCTGACAAATGCTGTATACATACGAAAACATGCAATGTGTTATAAACTCTACAACGAATGAATTTGTAAAGAATGTTTCAAGTCTAATCTTGTGTCTTGTTCATACATCTTTCCATTCATTTAAGGGTTCAGTGGGCTAAAAATTACGGATGTTACAAACATCGCTATTGGAGGATCTGACTTGGTAATGTATTCTAACTTGGTAATGTTTTCTAACTTCCCCCCTCCCCCAAATTAACCAAATTGGCAGGGTATCAAAAAAGTATACTTTTCGAGAATTTTTCTTCAGAAAAATCTGATCCGAAGAGAATAACTTATAAACAACCCGTAGTAATTATTTTACCACTCGCTCACACATTTATGGTGTAGATGATAGCTCTTTCAATCGTAGAAATTAAAGTGTTTTTTCAATGGCCACAACGATCATTAATAATAACCGATAATTATCCCAAGTTCTGTCCAAGTTCTGTCTGAAGTTCTAGTCCAAACTGTTTTTTTATTGCGTGTGATCAATAATAATAATAATAATCTGTTTAATAAACTGCTTTGCAGAAAATCTGAATTACACGGTATGAGTAATAATTACCTATAAAATTACAAGTTATTTACAATAATTATTACAATAGCCTATATTCAAAATAATCAGCATGCAAAGTAATCGAAACAATCGAGTCACTAAAAGAGAAATTTAAAATAATTATTATATACAGAATTAGTCATAGTCAACGTTTATATAATGTAATAAAATTCCTAAATCTATCGGTGTTCGCAGAAGGTAGGTTAGTATATGTTGCATATTATACTTTTTATCAATAGCTAAAGTTTGATTGTTTATGACCAATGACAAAGGACGATTTTGTGCACTTGGAATTGACTTCATCTTCGCAATAAATGACTGACTGAGTTTCGACAAGCCAGAAGTACTAAGCCGGAGTGTGACAGAGCCTGATTATAAGACAGCCATGGATAAATTATTCTTAGAGCACGTTTCTGAATATTTTCGATCAATGCAGACATGTTCTCCGTCAAATTTGACCAAACAGGGGCGGCGTATTCAATGGATGATCTTATGAAGGTGCAATACATTTCCACCATGTCCAATTGACGAAGACCAGCTCTCTTATGTAGGCGTAAGGCGTACAGCCTAGAATTGGCTTTCTTAATTACGTTGTCAACATGAACATTCCAGGACAAATCGCTCGATAGAAAGAGGCCAAGTAGTTTAAAGGAAGAGACGGTCTCGACTGAAGACCCAAAGACAAAAATCGGGTTAATAGTTGCAATGTTATATTTTAGGAAAGATATCAACATTTCTTTACACTTCTTAGGATTCAATACCATTCCGCGACTTGGCGCAAAGGTACCAATCTCATCAACAACCAAAGGCAGAAGGCTTGGCGAACAATTAACGGAGGACGATTTCAACAGCAGTAGCATCATCCACAAACTTGATTCGTCCTTGCCAATTTTTCATCAACGGGTTTACTAGAACAGCAAAGAGTATTGGTCCAAGCTTGGTGCCTTGGGGGAGGCCGCCATTAACTGATCTCCAGGAGGACATAACTTATTAATCCTCACACACTGACTGTTCTCTATTAGTAAGAAAAGATTTAACCCAGCGAATGAGCACTGGGTGAACATTTAAGTTGGAAAGTTCACGGATGATCACGTTATGATCAACCAAATCAAACGCTTTACGAAAGTCGGCAAAAACAGTTTAGCAGAGCAATGGCCGACGTCCAGTTCAGCATGAATCAGGTGGAGAAGATACACCAAGGCCTGGGTAGTCGACTTCCCAGACACAGCAAATTGTTTAACGTCGAGTTGGTCACTAATTTCTGAAAGCAGGGACTTGAATGAAAAACTTTCCATCAGCTTAGCTATCTGTGAGAGGTAAGACTTATTGGTCTTAAATCATCTTCAATTGAAGTAGGTGGCGTTGATTTCAGGATCGGTATCACAACAGATCGTTTAAGTTGCTGAGGGAAAATACCCTGTCTCATAGAGGTATTATAAATGTCACACAAAACAGGAGCAAGTTCGATGGCGAATGTCTTCAAAACTTTATTACGAACTGAGTCGGGACCACAGGCCTTTGTAATTTTAACATGCCGAAGAGCTGACAAGACGGATCCGGGCGTAACCAAAAGATGATCCGGAACTATAAGGTTAAGCATTCCATTATCATCCTGGATCGGAGTAAAATGAGAAGAGAGATCAACAAGAAAATTATTGTAATATTCGGCAAGATCATCACACGTAGAGATCGACTGTGACAGCAATTGGTAACACCAGTTAACTTGTGATTTCAAGCCACCCAATGATTTTATTTCTTTCCGGCACCAACGTGACGGATTAGTACTCTTTAGTTTTTCAACAGAGTGAGCGTAATGGTTTGATCTAGCTAGTTTAACAGAGCATTGAACTTTTTGACGCCAGTATTTATATGACTCAGAAGATTTTCCATGACGGTAGAAGGCCACCTGACGTTTCTAAATGCAGCGCTTAATTAGTAACGACATCCATGGTTTATCAGACGAGCGGACTGTAGTTGCTCTCAAGGGGAGAAAGTGATCATCATGGAAGAAAGAATTTCGTCAAATTTATTCAACTTCATCTCGCTGTCAGATGTTTCATAAATTGCTTTCCAATCATAGGAACAAATCCAGCGGCCGAACGGCCTTAAAGAACTATCCCTTAAATCTCTTTTAAAAACTTTCTTATTATCTGGTTTTTTAGAACGATGAAGGTAAGATTTAATAACGATGGCACTATGATCACTTGAACCTATCGGAGGCAGCTGAATTGGTTGGAAGACAAGATGTTTTGCATTCACCAGACACCGGCAATCCAATATAGCGTTATTTCTCGTGGGAACGTTAACTATTTGATTTAAGCCAGTTAACCGTTTTCAACGATTTTTGTCGAAACCAGTACTACATGGATTAAAATCGCCTGAAATCATCACTAAGGCATCTGGGTGTACTCGAAGAAAAGTATCAACGTTAACTTGGATATGATCGTAAAGATCTTTATTGTCCATACTATTAGCTGCAGTTGAATGGTAAATAGCTGCAATTAGTAACACAGAGATCGATCGTGGAAGGTACCATGGTCGAACAAATACCCATAACGACTCAATATCGGAAGCTTCAAATTCGAAAATACAAACTCCGCCACCAGTACCTGTTGCACCGTCATTACGAAATAAAATAAAATTATCAAGCGAAAGAACATAGTCCTGGATAGACTCATTTAACCACGTCTTGGTAATAGAAATAATATCAACATTATTTAATTTAGCAACCAGCTGTAATTCGTCGATTTTCGGGGTTAGAGATCGAACGTTAGAAATTAAAAGGTTAGGAAGGTAAGCATTATTATCCGGCCGGTGTAGTTAATGGTGACGTAATGGGAGCATTCGTCGATACAGGAGGAAAAGAAGGAATATGGTCTGGTCTGTGGCCAAAACGGAAGGGAAGATACTGATGTTTCTGACTATACACCTTCGATGTAGTAAGTTTGTGTAGGAAATCATATCTATCACCCTTGAGGCAATAACCTCTTCTTTTTAAAAAGGGGCAGGGTGTTATGGCTTTACTCTTTATTTTTGGCCTATTCACCACTAGAAATCCAGAAGTTGGCAACCCATTTCGACCAGGGAGGCCCTCTTTAGGATCGACGCGTCCCGGTGCATTAATTTGAAGCTCTTTTTCTGGTGAAAACACCGTTAGGTTGGCGGGCTCCAAGGCGTTCTCTGTTTCTATATTAATCGTCCGTTCGTATTGGGTTTGCTCCTCAAATTCTGAATGATATTAATTATTTTATGACTCGTAATTTTCCGTACAAAAAGGTTTTAGTCCTTCAAATTGTTTTCAAAGTGGTGCTGTTTCTACTGCAAAACAAAATCGCCGGCTCATGCGAGTGATGCGACAGCCTTTTTATTCGAAAGTAACATACCGCCTCCTACGGTCATCCTCATTAGGCACTGCTATTATATGCCACAGGTGTTAATTGCACGGTAGACCAGTTTCATTTTAGTATTTTCACATTTGTTCATTTTTAATTTATGGTCCTAAAAGTCGTAATATTTTTACAGGTGGGGCTATCAACTTTAATTCAATCGTGAAAAGTCATCGCATCAAGTAGGAAGGAAATAACAAAGATTGAAATATTGGTGTGTTAAACCTGAAAAATAACTAATAATGGCGATTGGTCTTCACATTGTTATGCTGCTTCTAGTAGTAAACAGTGCGGTTTCAATTGCTAAAGGTAGGCCAAAGGTGTACCATATTATTATGTCTAGTTGTCAACAGTTTACCTAAATAATAGAAAACATAATTTGAACTTTATTTAGGCAATTGTGTTTGAGTAACAATCACGACATTGCTACAGAGAAAATCCTACAAAACATCCTTCAACCAGCATTTACATAGTTAATATGAATACTTTAAGAAAAGAATACTACTTTGCACACGTTTTTTGTAAATAGGTTTAGTTAGGATCACAAGAGGTTTAAAAGTTTTACAGGGAACCGGTTAACGATTATATTGAAAATGTCAACTGGCGATGATGAAAATGAACTTATAAAGCGATTTGTTTACATTTATAACGCACCAGTTATGTAGGAACTCATATGCATCTCGTGACACGAAATACATTCATTCAGAATCCCAACACAAATTTCAAACAAAACTATCTCCAAAGCCGAATGTAACTACAATTTCTAAATGTAATTCAGTTGAACTGAACATACACCCCTTGTTAAAACTAAAAACTAAAGCCTAATTTATATGACAAGGCGTAGACTGGTGTTGGTCACCTGTTGCCGGAGAACGTGGCAAACTGATATAAACAAATTAGAGATACCCATGAGAAATGAAAAGCTTTAGCCTATATATAAATATTTTTTCTATATGGTTTACTTATAATGGTTTGTTTGTCTTTAAGAACTATGCCGTTCCCTTTCAGCCTTTTTTCAAACCATGCCCTATTCGTTTATATCTTTTAATTTTATGCGATTATCAATTTTTTTCTCTTTCTTACCATCGTTTTTTCTACTCGAATTTTCCTAATTCGCTTTCATAATATTTTACTTGTTTTTAATTGTGGCACTCTATATAGACCATGGAAGCAGTCCTTTAAAATATGTGTATATGTCTGGATAATTCTCTAGCTCGATAACTTCAGCCTTAGCTCCAACACACTTAGCGGCACACAATGGCTGGATCTGTTTAATGAAAATTCCTGAAATTTATCAGAGTGTTATATCATGTTTATTGTGAAAGGTTTGTCAACAAAACCAATGAAAATTCGCGTCAATGAAAATATCCAGGGCGATGGTCGAGCTGCCAGCGTTGAAGCACGAAAAGTTAAAAGATTTTACGAAAAACCAGTTATGCAGGATTCAAGTAAAAGTTTCGAAAGTGGAAAAAATATCATCAATGAGAATATTCACGACGATGGTGCAAATGAGGGAGATTCTTGGCATAAAAATCAACACGTAAAAAGAGACGGGAACAAAAAGCGTAAAGGTCAACGAAAAGTAAAGGAAAGGCCTCTACTCCCAAAGAATGTACGCGAAACTCATGGCTAAAAATCTGAAAGAACATATATAATCTTATATATAATCTTTAATATCCATCTTTACTTAAAAAATACAATGGATTTACAACAAAGAAAGTAGTTAATACCATTAAGATATGTAAAATACCGCTAAATCATTAATCTGCTAAAACTTAGATTTTAGAGTATCTATTAAATGGAATACTCACTCGTCTAATCTAGTTCAGACTTATTATAAAGTGCAATAGCTCTTGGAATGAAAGATTGTTCATGTCTTTTGGTATGCGAAGTAGGTGGTGGGATACCGACATTTCTTCTCAAATCAGGATTATGAGATAATGGCAGAGGGATATACCTATGACAGGGATGGGTGGCATCAGTTATGATCCGCCTCAGTTCTTCCATAGCGATATCGTCTCTTCTTTCCTGCAAGGATTTCAAATTATCTTTCAAATTATCGAGTATTTTTAAACATCTATTTTGAGTGATCTCGATTTCGTCCGCGAGGAATTGCGGCAATCCACCCCAAATTGACACACTATACTCTAAAATAGGTCTTATTTTCGTCAGGTAACAAGTCAGGCCAACTTCTTGCGGTAGTTTAGACGCGCGGGATTATCCTTTAACAGTGGCGCTACTTCAGCGAGACTCGGGAATGAGACAGCAGGAAGATCTTGCAAAGGTTTTGTAAAAATATCTTGTATATAACTCTGCAGTGTTGATTGCTTGTTCCGTAGTGATGTTATTACCTGTGTCTGTGTCAAAACCAGACAATTTAAATATGTTTCTGTACTATCTAGCAGGGTTGGTTTTCCGGCGATCACTGACCTTAGAATTATAATATACTTCTTTCGCATTCTTAATAAGCCTTGCTATTTTATCACATAGTTCTTTGTATCTAACAACGTTTCTGCTACTAAATGCTTTTTGCCTTGCTTTAATCTCTCTTTTTATACCGGGCGTCATCCAAGGTTTGTCGGAAACATGAGTACCTATTGTAATTTCTGGCAACATCGTATTAATTAGCTGAGTTACTACAGTCGTGAATCGATCAACTTTCGCATGGATTTCCTGTAGATTAAAAACAGTGTTCCAATTCTCTTGGTCTAGCTTAACCCCAAGAGAGATAAGTTTGTTACGTTTCATCAAACGCACCTTGCGTGGATAAGGCTTGGTGTTCTTGGATCCATGAGCTTGGTACAATAATATCGCAATAATCTTATTGAAATTGTAGCTTTCCTCTTGCACAGGTTTTAGTTCAATATTCGATGCTAGCTATGTTCCAAATGCGAACGAATTTTTCACGAATGATGATGCACACTAGAATATGTAGTCTAGTTTATTAAAGAAATCCTCAGATCCCTTTTGTTTGCATGCAATCTAACACCAATGATCGTTCTTAACAATTATCGCTGCAATGCCCTACCATGCGGAAAAGAAGGTAAGTATAATCTATCTGGGAAAGACAGAAGCCTCCGACACGAATTATTCCAAGCTATAGTAACCCATCCAAACTAAATTCGCCAGATTTGGCTCAACTTCTGTGATTAGATGGGAATCGGTTTTTTATCTTTAATAATTATATCAGTACATATTTACAAGTTGTTTTTTCTGAACTACGGTGTCTTGCTTATCATCTTATTCTATATTACTGGTATATTTCCAATTAGCCCAATTTCAATGTGCAAAATGAGTGACTGGTATGCCAAATTATCTTTATGTTCCGGCGTCTGTCCCGTTAACAATATTTTGGCGTTCACTTACTGTAAATACAACTAATTTCTAAAGAAATCGGTAGTAATAATTAGTGTAAAGTGTTGACAACTTGTTGTCTTCTCGAAAAAAAATCCTAATTTTAAGGCGCTGATTTCATTCGCATGAATTTTCTCTACGAGCAGAGGTGCCAAAATATATCCTCGTAATTTTCCGTACAAAAAGGTATTCACCCTTCAAATTGTTTTCAAAATCCTGCTGTTTCTTCTGCAAAACAAAATCGAACGTTCATGCGACAGCCTTTTTATTTGAAAGTAACATCGGCGTCTTACCGTCATCCTCATTAGGCATTGCAATGAATACAGCAAATCTTTTATCTGCAAACAGTTACTTAGACCAACTTTACTTACCTTGGAAGACGAAAACGATGATCTATTTGCAGAAATCTAGGTTATAAAATGTCATAAATTATACATAAAAACCTAAATAAAGAGGGGACCGTATCAACAGAATAATTTGTGAACTGTGAAAATATTGCTGTATGTTCTGAGGCGAAACATTGGAACGAGGTCTCTGGTTTATGAGCACATACGACTTTATTCCCTAACCGGCACAATACAACTGAAAAATTTTGAAAGAAAATTTCCGAGGTAGCTATTTAATACATAGTGCAAGAAATTTGTGATTAAAAATTGATTCTCCTGCGCCTGGATTTATGACATCAGGTGCAATTTTTTAATCCGCAGATGAAAGGATCACAATCCGTACCTCTTTAGTCTAGCGGAAATGCACGCTTTTAATAATTGCAAAAAATATAGCAAATCTTTTATCTGGAAACAATTGCCTCAACCATGCAACTTTACCCTACCTTGGAAGAGGACAACGATGTTCATTTGCCGCTTTTCGTCATGAAATCTAGAAAGTTGTAAAATGTTATAAATCATGTCCAACATACCAGAATCAGATGATTCATCGCGAATATCATGACTAAGTGAGTTTAATAATTTCACACCTTGGTAGGTAACAGAAAATTGCTTGATATTTGTTCTGCAAAATGGTATGCCGTATGGAGTATAAATTCGAATTCCGCGTATTATAGCAATGAATTTCATTTACTCGATGGAAAAATGAATTGAAATTAGATGGTAATCTTTGTTTATGATATATAAAAATAAATTTACCTAGGTGAAACAAATACACTTGACGGAAAGTCAACAACTCGAGTTGTTTAAAAATAGGTTCTGTATATACCTCGTGATTTATTATTCTAATAACACGCTTTTTTAATAACACAATGCGATTTAAATTTGACGGATAAGTGAAGCCATGAATATATGGATGAATAAGGGAATTTTAAAGAATAACTAACGATGATTTAGAGACATAGAAACTTGCTCTTTTTTATGACCCCAATCGATTTCGACATTTTTCTATAGCTATATACATGTACGATATATGAGATCTTGATATAATCAAGCTGTCTAAAAAGTTCTTTTATTTTAAAAAATCAGAAAAACAAACAAAGACCTCACTTAAATCTTAATAAATTAGCATATTGAATGCTTCCAGAATATATGTACATGTTAAAAAACGAAATACAAAGCGCGATGTTACAGATAACTTTAAATTCAATACAGCTTGCCTCTTGCCACCCAAACTCACTGGAGCGTTTTAAGGTTATGCATGAGTGGCGATCCGTCTGTTCTTTTAAGTATCTCTATCCCCGGCCTCTTGAGTAAATCAACAGTAAGAATGCAATTTTCTTCGGTCCTTTAACATTTCATCTCTCTTCTACTTTTCTGCTTGCCTGTGATGAGGATATGATTTTCAAAGTTACCTTTGCATCCTTGCAACAATATAGTAGACAAAAGGTTTTTCAATAATTTGGTAAACGTAACACATAGACGAGTCGGTTCACGGCATAGTTAGCATAGAATAGTGCACTAAACATCCCATTAACGTCCGAACTACAAGGGTATCGCTGAAAAGCAGGTTTTGAGAAGCGGCGTAGCCTAGTGAAAAAATATCGCGATAGGCAAGACACAAGCAAGAATCATACACGCGGTAAGAATTATTGTTCTCAAAGACTGTTTTTCTCTCATCAGTCGTGCTTACTTCGGGCGATTTGAAATGTTTTTAAGATACAAATTTTTCGCCTGTTTCCTTAACTTGGCGCATATGTAATATGTTAATCCGTACAAGACACTTGTAAAAGCAACCAGTATTCTTCCAAAGACACTAATAATTACCGAATCCACCTGCGGAAAAGATAGTTACTTTTACAGGGTATGCAAAACCAATAACCCAGATGCAGGCCAACCATAGGGCTGTAGGCTTTCCTTTTATATAAATGCGATGTTGTATGGGATATACAACCATCAGGAAGCGATCAAGTGAAATGGGGGCTGTATTTAAAAAGGATATTCCAATGATAGAAAATATGCAGAGACGACATAGTGATTTAGCCCAGTACAAATCCTAGGCAATACAACTGGAAAATAGCCCGATGGAATAAATCGAAATGTTGGAAAGAGCCAAATTTGCAACGAGATATGACCCAGAGTTCCTGAATAATTTCAGTGGGTCTTTAATAAAAGCAATGACGAGAAACACGTGGGAATTTACACAAAAAGCACAAACAGCATAAGGCAGTGCGCTGATGTAACCCAATTGAAAGGCAATGAAAGAATCACCCGAAAATTCCATTATTTTCATCTATTCCCTGGGAAGTTCGTAAGCGCTCCGACTGCCTAACATTTCACATCTTCCGTTTATTAATAATATATTCTAGGTCTAAATTAAACACCTGCAAAGCGTTTATTTATTGAAACGAAGTATTAAAACAGAGATCTTAATAGGGCCGTGCATATCACCAATTGTGGTTATGTTAACTATCATTAATTGCGGAGATCATGTTGATTGAAATATTTTTAAAATTCAAAGTTCAATCTAAATACCCAATAATCCTCGCTACATGCATACAGCTTAAAAATACCCGCGCCAAATATTCAAACCAGTGAACCCCAGCAGAGCCTTGTTCATATAACACTAGAAGTGTAACTACAGATTGTTTTATATCGTGTCTTCAAATTTGCGAAAATGCCCACGTCTGGCCCACAGCGGCGGATCATTGAGTCCCCCAATGTTATGTGCAAAACCGATGCGCAGAAGCCGCTGTATACTGTCTTTAATAAAAGCCATGGTGACAAACATTGTATTCATACGATAGCACGTTGAAACCAGAGAAAAGATCATCATTCTGAAAATACTATTTCATCTATTTCCTCGGATATTTATAACTCCTTTCTTTGCTTGAATGGGCTTGACACTTGTCACTTCACACACTTGATATATCTTTCGTTTCAAAATAAAACTGTATATGTAAACAGCTGCAAAGCGTTTATTTAATGTAACAAAATGCAATGATTCACAAAATGATGATATTCAATATTGAATGAGTTGCAGCTATTACTCAGCCGAGCTCAAAGTTATTTCAGGCTGGGAAGATGAGGTGCATATAACATTGCTCAAGGTCATAAATAATTTTATTAATATCAGGGTCCAACATTCTGTTCAATGCGAAAGGGTGTATTTTTAAACACATCATTTTTTAGAATGAGTGTAAAATTTTCTGCGCTTCTTCGCTTATGACCGCAGTTTTTAAACAATGCAACCAGTGTGAGCCATTAGCCATGTTAAATTATTTAGTTAACTATCTTTTCCTGCACGAATAAAGCTATGAAATGTTTTCCGATAGTTTGGCAAACGTATGATGTAAATCAACGGATTTATAGCAAAGTTTGAGTAAAACATGGTAAGAAATAGATGCTTGAAAATCTCAATTGTCAGAGAGTACTTTTCTGTACTTTTATCATTAACGCTGTCAAAAAATGCCATGGGCGGTACAATACACACAAACGCGATGCATGCTATCAAAATAATTGTCTTCAAAAACTCTTTTTCTTTCAAGATTCTTATTTCTTGAGCACGACTTCCTGTTGAATTGTTTTGTAGAGCTATATTTCTAGACTGTTGCTTCAACTTGTAGTATGTGGTAGCGTGCATAACAGTGGAAAATATGATGAAAAACGCGTTCAAAATGTAGAGTGGTTTGTCGGTAACGAAGGGAAATCGTAGAGATAGCATTGAAAGAATTAGACTTGCAAGCCAAACAGTTGTCATCCATATGACGATGAATTTTCCCTGAACTAAAGAGCGATGTTTTAATGGGTAGGCCACAAGTAGGAAACGATCAATAGATATTGATGTTATCGATAGAATTGACGTAAACCCAAACCAGAGATGGAAAAAGACAAAAATTGGTTTCGCATACGACAGCGATAGTTCAATGACTAAAATCCACACTCCGAAAAGACAAGTCAGGCAATCAGAAATAGAAAGGGTCATAACGAGATACGTCGCTGAGTTTCTGAAGCACTTTAAAGGGTTTTTAAAGAGCGCGACAAGAAGTAATATATTTGAAATTATTCCCAAGACGAAGACAAAAACGACAGGTAAATAACTGTATGTCAATACGATGCTGACTGTCCCACTTCTCTCCGTCGTTTGGTTCTGTGCCATAAATACTTTGTTAATGCAATAGCCAATGGTGTGTCGTCAACTGGACTGCTAGATATCTTATCAACTAGACCTTCAGTTAACGCGGGAAACCTTCAGGAACAGCAGGAAAGTTGTTATTGCACATAAGATTTTCTTGCTGGCATGCAGTCGTTATTTTATCTTAATTCTACTACGTCTACGCTCTTGCAACAGACCTTTCTTATTCGCCAAGGACAGAAAGCCTGCTGTTACACAAACTTTAATTGGTTCCTCAAGGGTAGGGTCGCAGTTCCTCGCAAGAATGATTTTCATTGGCTGAACTTTACAATACATTTCTGTATCAACCAATAGTATAGCTTCGTTCTTTATAAAGCATAGAAAAGCATTATCCAATTTGACGAAAGCTTCCGAGCACTGCGACATGACTGACCACTCCTCAAAACTACGAGTCAATCAAAGTTCGTGTAACACCAGGTTCTATATCTCCGAGCGGTCATCATTTTGAGAAAGGATTTATTGTGTACATGCATCGTTTAAATTCGACTTAATATATTATTCATTTTTATGAATTTTATACTTTGAGGTGAATATGTCAAATGTCTGCAATTCATATTCAATGAATGTTGGGCGTTTTTAATTAATTATACTAAGATTTGTTTTAATATATTATTTTACCACCTATTTCAAAGTGATAGTTCATAGCTTTGTAGGAATGGTCATCACGCACTAGGGAAGTTGTTGTATGCGCCAAAATGGAGAGTTTTAAGCGGACGGTGGCTCCGCGCCGCGAATCTTAATATCCTTTACTTGAGATTGACGTTCTTTAATTTTTCCGTTTGCTGTTTACGCAATTCACTTTTTCAATCGCTGAAAGTATGTTTTTCGTATTATTGTATTTAATGTCGAATGTCTAGCGTCCTATCCTATTCCCTAAATTATCTTGCAAGTAATAAATATTATAATTTGCAGTTCTTATGAATAAACGTGAGTGCGAACTTTAATATAAGGACATGTCTTTTGTTATTATATTTGCAATCACATTTTCATTAGACTTGAATATTTTTTGACTTTCGAAGTTCTTTGTTCAGCCTTTGCATCATTTCCCCGGCAAATACTTCCTTCTCTGTTAATGACATGGCTTGAAGTACAATTTTACAAAACATTTTCATTGATAAAATAAAAAAGTCAAAATTTACAATAATTTATATTGGCAAAATTGACTTTTTGTATTCATTTCTTACATATTACTCTGATGGCCTGATTATATGGAGTGATTTCAGCCTGGACTGACAGGGACGTAGCTCGAGGGGATGTCAGGGAGGTAATATCCCCCTCCCCCCATTTATCACGGACTCGGCAAATGTCTGTCTGACTCGAAAAAACGTAATCCCCCAGTGCCAGTGTCTTGACAGGAAAAGCGTCCATGTTTTAACAAAGAGACGATTGATGTAGAAATACACCATGGTAGGTACAACGCAAACAAAAGCGATGCAAGCCATTAAAATAATTGTTTTCGGGATTTTTATCTCTAACGACACTTATATTTTGAGCACGACTTTCTGTTGAATTGTTTTGTGGAGCTATATTTCTCGTCGAAAATATGACGAGGATTGTGTTGACAATCTAAAGTGGATTTTCAGTAAGCCAGCAACGCAAAGCATAGAAACAGTATAGAAAGGATTAAGCTTCAAAGCCGTAAAACCATCAATTCTCCCTGAACAAATGAACCGATATTTCATCAAATTATCATCAAATTAAAATGGCATAGGGATAAAAGTTGTTATTGCACATTAGATTTTCTTGCTGTTGCAATTGTGTACATCGTCTCAGTTTAATTAAAAATAGTATTAATAATTTTATGCAGGTGATCAGTCTCTCAACTGGTTATTGCATATTTAATTAATTTTGAGCGTTTTTTAATTGCACTAAAATTATTTTTAATAAATCTTTTTAATACCTTTTCTTGCATCTATCTTTTTAATAAACTTCGCTATTAGGTGCATCAATATTTTACAGTTACAAGATATAAGAAAGTCTAATCCCCGAGGGTATTAATTCCGCTAGGAGATTAAATACACCCGGGTATTTTGACAGAACATTCCGGAATCCAAAGTTGTCCAAATCCAAATTCTATGTCATAGACGGTGTTGTGAAATATATACTTAATAAACTTGCCTAGTAAAGTTAGGCTTTAATCAACAAAAATCTAACATATAATACAAAGAAAGAAACATGCATGGCGGCCAAAGAAGTTCAAAAAGAACAAATGTACATTGTAACTGTAGGCTCAGGAGCCTGACTATCGTTACTTGATATTATACAAATATACGTCATTATGTTTAGGTAAATATTACAACATTCACCCATGCTTTAAAAGTTTAGTCTATCCGGTGGGCGACGCATTTGCTCAGAGCGTCGCAAACTTGGTTGTGTCTCTACTGCGGGAATCAGCAATTGGGATTCCACATTAAAATTTTCCCCCGTTTACACTGGGGCTACTTCTTCTGACGATGGGACTACTTCAGGATCTCTTAACATTGAGACAGGTGGGCTCTGACAAGACAGTCCTTGGCTGACCTGCAGGTGCAAGATGCTTTGGGCTACAGTAGTCTCTCTACCGTCCGGGTAGCGTATATAAGCATATTGAGGATTCGCCTGAAGCAGCTCTACCTCATCAACAAGGGGATCTATCTTGCTGGTACGGACACGGCTGTTCCAGGAGTGGCTAGCCAAGTGGGAATAGAGAAGCCTGAAGATGATCTTCTCGGGGAACCAAAGAATCGTTCATGGGGTGTCTCATTAGTTACTGTGCATAAGAGAGAATGCATGGAATGTGAAACATCAGGAAGGACGTCTTGCCAGTTCTTTATTGGTAGATCCTTGGATTTCAGTGACTTGGTAATAACTTGCCGTACAACACCGTTGTATTTCTCAACTTGACCGTTACCTTCAGGGTGATAACTGGTCGTTCGGCTCATGGCGACGCCTTTTTCTTGCGAGGAAAGCTTGTAACTCGTAGCTCATAAAGGAGGCTCCACGGCCTGAATGGACATACGCAGGCATTCCGAAAAGAGAAAAGAGAGAAGAGTGTAACCAGGCATCTGATTACCGTATTCGTCGAGAAATCAAGAAAGGGGAAAACAAGCGGGAATCTAGAGTATTCATCAATAATATTAAGGAAATATTTGTTCCCATTAATGCTTGGTAATGGGCCTTTAAAATCCATGTTTATTCTCTCAAAGGGTCTGGTGGCTTTGATGCAAGGGACTTTTTGAGACTGGTGGAACTGAGGATCACATTCACAACATACACGACATTCGCTTGTGACTTTCTTGATCTCGTCCAATGCATAAGGCAGGTTCTTAGTTCGGACGAAGTGGTAAAGTCGGGTTACTCCTGGATGACAAAGGGACTCGTGAAGCTTGTAGAGTGAATTCTCACTAGACAAGGCGCATGTGGCTCTGGATTTACCTTAAGAAGGCCTCGACAAACTAACAATCTTAGCTAACTTTATATCACCTACAATCTTCCAACACATTGAAGATAGTACAGATTATGATGCTGTTATGCAAATATTAGAATCTCTTTTTATTAAACCCAAGAATGAGATTTTTGCCCGGCATGTTCTAGCTACGAGACGGCAACAAGTAGGTGAGACCTTGGATGAATATATCCAAGCTTTAAAAAGTGTAACGTATCGTCATAGTGTAACGAGCCGAGCTTACTTCACACACAAACACACAACCGGTCTAAATCCAACTCTCTTATTCATATTTTACATTTGTTATTTATACTCTCGTTCTATAGGGCGTATTAGCTTCCTTTAATTATCTATAATATATTTTCTATTATTAACTGCTATATTTATATAAAATTATTAATCTCGGAAGCACTTACAATGGTGCATCCGCGGCAACTTGCTTTTCCTTATTCCATTAGGTTAGTCTATATTTAAAGATTATTCGATATCCGTTACAATAGTTTTACACCAATCTCCACATAGTCCTTCATTTGTTCAATGTTTTTTAAAACGTCTTAGCCGTAAAAACAGGACTCATGAGTTGAATCAATCGTCGTCCAAAAATTACAGCATTAACTTGAGGTTAAATGATGATGCATCAATCTCTACTGAACATCACATCAGTGCGAAGACAGTATTTTCTTCCCTTCATCAATTTTGACCCACTGTGAAGAATATCATGTTGAAAAACAAGAACACGACCTAAACGAGATAAAAAGGTCTTGATAACGTTCTTTGATGCACGTCGGGTCATAATTTGCTAACACGAATGATTTCGCAAAGTAATCACAACACGAGTATGCATGCAATTCTACTTTTGAGCGATGTAAATTAGTAGAGTTTCGAAATTGTATGCATATAGACCTATTGAAAGCATCTGTGGAGCGTGAATAAGACAGAAGTTTCCAAAATGTACATCTCTCAAAAGAAGTATCACATTGAAGGTGGCAAGAAAAATTGCACCGTGTAACATTTAATGAGTTAAGAAATAGAAAACATTTTTCGTGTTTCTATACAGTTATAGAAATACGCGTGGGAGTTTGGGAGAACGAGAAACAGGAAAACGAGCCCGTAGGGCGAGTTTTTCACGTTATTCCGAGTTCTCCCAAACTCCCACAAGTGTTTCTATCAACTGTATAATATTTCTATCAATGTAATAATATAAGTCGATAAAAATATTTTGTACAAATATTATAATTCCATTCAATTGCAAATTCTCATTACATCGCTTCGCTTGTCAAGTTCGGCGGGAAAATTCCCGTGTTTCTATACAGTTATAGATACACGCTTCTTGACCAATGAGCACGCACGCACTATAAATGTTATATTATAAACACCATTATTGTACCGCTAAACCGATATATCCATTATTGTACTGATAAACCTATACATCCATTATTGTACCGATAAACCTATATATCAATTTTTGTACCGATAAACCTATATATACCCATTATTGTACCGACAAACAAATGAGAATGATATTATGTCTGCACGTAGTGTTGAACTTTGAAGCATACTGTATGTAGTTAAATGTTAAAACGTAAAACATACCAATTTTGGGAACACAATCCACATCATTTCTACCAAATTCGAAATTTTCGAGAAAAGTAGTGGCTCCTCCAGTGAAACCCTGGATGACATATTGCAAATGAATGAATGAATTCATTACACAGATCACATAAACGATAAAATATTTACGAAACAGTGAACGAAAAGCACAACTTAATGTTCCAGCAAACTTCTTTCATTTCGTATAGACAACAAACATTGTACGTATAATCTCTGCAAAGTCTCCATATTGGCTAATTTGGCTTCGGCCTCGAGGGTTTATATGGAGAGAACTGTAACAAACGAAGTTTCTTGGCCGTACCAATGGCTGTTCTCAGAGGGTTAAGTCAAGGTTATGACCATGCATATTTTCCATACAGTATTGATATAATTCTACTTTTGTACTTAATATGAGGACAAAGTTGAAAGATAAGTTTACAGTTGTTGATTACCTCGTTAAGGTAAAGTTGAATAGTCAAGTAACTTGCTTCACCATTATCTCTCACATACGACCCGTCAAAATGTGGTTTAAACTCTTGTCCTGGATCATATCGAAGAAAACGTAATCTGGAAAATAATTAACAAATGTATAACATGTAACCGTTGTCTGTTCAGTTATAACTGTAGTTATAGCTACATGTAGATACACAGTATGACATCATTTGTGATAAGAACAAAAAAGTGCCATCGAGCCGCCGGGCTTTTGCACAATCACGCGTACATGTTTTATAGGATTGAAGAAATGCTATTGGCTAGCTTAAGACACGTGATAAAATCTGAGTGGCTGTCAAAATAAGCATGACTGATCAAATTCGTTAAAATGTTCTGCGACGGCATTCTGTGTGTCTGTCCTGTCATTGTGGCTCGATCTTGACCAATGAAATTTCTTGAATTCTTAACGTTATGATATAAAACTCATTTTACTTCTACTTAGTCTTAGAACCTCGTAGAAAGCAAGCTACCATACACACCACGACAATGATATTCAAACGTTTCATGAGAGGCTTACCGTTCATTCAAACCGAGCGCTTTCCGTCCTCGCCATTTCTCTGGAATCAAATGTTTGATTCTGTCCCATATTTCAGCAGCTTTCTAAACCAAAGGCATTATCCCTGTTTACACTAAGCTGTAGGTCTTACCAATTACTTGTTACCAATATCTTGTTATGTTTCAAAATTACCTCAAATGAGTCTACAATGCATCTGTAGTTATTTCTCACCTCAGGCATGAGCTTTTGTCTAAACATAGAAAAATTTATCAGGTTGATCCTGACTTAAAAAAGGAGTGCCACAATCATGTGCTGCACCCAGCAAACATGGTTGATAATTATTAGTTGCAGTATGTTCATAGCTGTAGCGTAGACAAGTTACCACAGCTTGATATGAAGAATTACATGTGGGTAATTGCAGTACTACATTGTCCAGTCCCGCTTTTATCAAACTGGGAACAAACTGTGAATATAATACAAATACCACCCACTTTGGGAAATGCCTGGTTATAGCAATTCATTGCTAAAGTTTGCCATCTGTTTCACAACCTGTAGCATAAGATCTAGCTTAAAAAATTAATACCCTCCTTATACAACCTAAACACTATACCTTCCCCCACCAATATTAACCAAGGCTTTAACATATCCTTGTTTTTCAGTCATTTTTATCATTTCTTTGCATTCCTGGAATAAAGAATATCCATTTTATTATATTTATTATTTCTGGCTTATCTCTTGGGACTTTTGGGACCATTAAATTTTTGTAGATTCCGAATGTAAGGTGAGCAATGCTTTTTGCTGTATTTATATGTAGATTAAATTATCTGAAGAATTCTGAATATATGAAGAATTCATATATCTGAAGAATTCATTGTTCAGATATTATTCAAATATCTGAAGAATTCAGAATTATTCAAATATCTGAAGAATTCATTGTATGTCCACATCAATAATACTAATTGTAATGTACGACTAGCTATTCCAGTAGCTTCATCTATAACCATCTTCACCCATCTATGAATTTCACTATGGAAATTGATGAAAACCATGCAGCAACATTCTTTACCATTCCTAGATATATCCTTTTCACCTGAAATCCTTAGTGGCTTCCTTAACCACTATGTCCACCGAAAACCCACACATACTGATTGCTACCTCAACTAATATACCATTCCCATTCTATTTCTGATAATGACAGCATCAACAATGAATTACACCATCTCAAGTACTTTCTCATAATGGCTTTCCCAATAAACAAAGTAACCTGGATTTTACCCGACCTAAAACGACTAGAGTCCAGATATTGAAAATGAACCAATCAACACAGTTTGCATCCCTTTCAACGGTCAATCTTCATACACAATTGAGCGAATCCTCAGAAATAACAATATTAAAGTTTTCCATAGCTGTCATCTAAAAATACAGCAACTACTATATTCGCACAAAGATAAAACTTCAGCTAACCAGAAGCTGTTGTAATTATAGCAACCATATCTAGGCAGTCCAACCGTCAGGTGTTTAAATTTTGATGAAATGTGGTCAACTGATAAAAAAAACTTTCAGCAGTTTCCATTATTTGTACACTATAACTACACAATGTGACATTAATGGGTGAGAGAGAGTTTTTTTTCCGTCATATTTCATGAAACCTTAATTGTTGGGCTGCCATGCAGCTGCATGCCTATATAATTCATATAAAATTCAAGCAATTATGTATACAATTGATTTTGCAAAAGCTATTGATTTTGATTAGCTATATGCTCATGAGGTTTACTTACTTGACTGACTGGCACAACTGCTTGTAAAGTGACCACATTTACTTTAACATACGTGCAAAACATTGATGGGCCCCCTATGTTGAGTATACAGTAGTGAGTAGTCCCCCGCTAACTCGAACTCGCTTAACTCGAACTCCTCGCTAACTCGAACTAAATCCAATTCCCCTTGAATTTGATAGTGTTTTTCATAGTAATTTACTCCGCTTAACTCGAACTCGCTTAACTCGAACTCCTCGCTAATTCGAACAAATTTTGTTTCCCCTTGGTCAAATATATCCGGTTAACTCGAACTTTGGTTTCGACTTTCGAATCATAGATCAGCAAACTTTGAAATGTGAGAAGATAGAATTTTGACAACTGGAAACTATCAAAATAACAACAAGTTAATCAGTGTATAATTGTATATAAATGCCTATAAATTTTAAAAGATTTTGTGTGGTGCTACGGTCGTTATTGATCTAACTTTTTTAGTTCCTTTTGTATTCTTTCGATCTTTTTAATTTTAAAACGTCGTCCACTCTCGCTGACCATTCATATTGGGAGGCCTGGTATCCCTTGAAGAATGATTCGATTGGATTTTATATCTTATTGTATTACTTATATAATAAACGTAATCTGACACCAACTCCGGTTAACTCGAACCCCCGGTAACTCGAACAATTTTTCTTTCCCCTTGGGAGTTCGAGTTAGCGAGGGACTACTGTATGTATATTATTCTACAACTGAAAATGTGACAAAAAAATGGCGCAGAGTTCTGTCTTCTGAACGATTAAAATGTACCAAAACGGCAATTGCGAGATCGAATTACCCATTACAAAGCCATTTATTAGTTTATACAGGCAAAAATCTTACCTTATCGGAGAAAACGCCATCCACAATAAATGCCAACTTATCTTTGTTGGAAGTTTCGTTTCTTGGTAAGACTAATGGTACAGCCGTCAAATGTTCGTAGTTCGCCATCATTTTCACGCCAGACGCGTCATTTTCAATTTTCCAAGTCATTTCGACTTTTATACCCTAGTTTTTGAAGGCTAATTATAGAAAGAGTTGTAAACATTTCTGAATGATGTTGCAATGTTATTATGAATGTCATCACGTCATCACATATGAGACAATGTTGCCGGTACTTCGTTTAGTTCGAATGAAAAGGACTTCATAAATCCCATGAGGCATAAATCATATAAACCATAATTTCTACTTTATATCTCACAGTCTCACTTCTCTGGGAAAACCTATGAACGAGGATGGAGTTGGGGCTAAAATCTATCAATTATCCTGGAAAATATTCTGGATATTTTGGCAAAAATTATGCAATCGTCGTACTCAACACCGGCAGCTGCAAACAGGTACTATAAACGTAAGTCAGTCGTAAAACGAAACTAGCTGACCTGAGTATAAAAATTAACCAATCACAGCGGCAAGCCAGATCGTTGACAAAACTGTGAACATCAATCTCGAAACCAGAGCCCGCGATCCATAAGGGGGAGGAGTCGGGGGTGATATGACAAGATATTCAGCTCCGGGTTCGTGGCTCCGGGTTCGCGAACCCGGAGCTGGCTCCGGATTCGAGCGAACCCGGAGCTGGAGTGGCTAGTTTTCATACAAACCGATGTGGCCGCTTCGCTTTTAATGGGAATCGAAAAATTTAAAAAGGCCATTTTTCTTTGTTATATTATCAAGAACATGGCCTAAAATGAGAGTTTTATTTCATTTACTTTGCTCGCAATAGCTCCGTAAAGTTGGCTATTTTTTTTGTAAAGTTGACTGGTCAGCGGCACGGGCGACCGCCAGGCTTTATACAAGTTCGATTTACTAGCTTTACGACGAGTTTTTGTAAAAACTAAAAGATGGCCATTCGAGAGAAAGCTTATGAGAATATCCTTATAGTTCTAACCTTCTTCTAGATTGCGAAACCACGACAGGCAACTTCTGCAAAGTCTAGCCGTCTGATTTCATGCACGCACCCGTGGCATAAATTTAATCCCTTCGCGAAGGCAACTAACCCGGTTTCTGCAAATTTTCGTTTTTCCACATTGGTTTATTGAACTGTAAATGTCATATCATCAATGCTAACAATTATTCGAGTACTCTAAGCAAAAAATATCTCTTCTAACTGTAATATGCTACGGAAACAACACTGTCAAACAAGTGTACACAAACGGCCATTGCATGTTAAGTACGCTTTTCATCGCCGAGATTTTTTCGCTGATTTCTTCGCTGATTTGACTTTGAATAAAATTCTAAAGAATGGCCATTTGAGATTTACATTCATACTCTTCCACCACAAAGATTTGAGGTTCTAGGATTCGTATCCAGTGAGCACAACTCCTGAGAGTGCAAACCGTCAGAATTCTGTCACGACCCGACATCATTAACATTACAACCCGGTGGACACAACCGCCGTGTTTAAAGCAAATTCGCGCTTTAGCGGACAACGCTGGTAAACCATAAACCCCATATTATTATTGTTAGCCATTATTCGAATGCTTTACGCTAAAAATATCTTTACTTCTTGTACTACACGGCGCAAACAGCGTCGCTAAACGATGGTCTTAAAAACGGCTCAAGTTCTCAAACGCCAGAAATATGTCAAGTAAGCTGAACATCACTCGGACTGTTTCGCAAATTTCGTCGCTGTTTTGACTTCATATAAAATTCTAAAAGATGGCCATTTGAGATTTATATTCATACTACACCATGAAAGTTTTATAGGGCTTCGGGATTCATATTCAGCGCCAAAAACTCACGAGAATACAAATTTTGTTGACAACAAACTCTCGGGCGATGATAATTAACATTGTCATTGTTTTGATCTCAGGGAAAACCCATCAGGAAGATCGGGTGATTATTTAATTCTGTACTCGGGTAGTAGACGTTTTTACTTTACCACTTAAGCTTAGACCTTTAAACTGATTATCACTAACCTTTCTTGAACGCGGTTTTCTCTCTGTGATTGCTGTTTTCATGCTCATAACGGGCAAGCGTTCCAAGTTTTTATGTTTAGATAGAAGCACTGGTATGATCGTATTAGAATGAATCTGACCAATACAAATAAATCGGATTTTTTTGATGTTTAAAATCAAATTTAAAAATTATTAAACGCAAAAGCACGCGGTTAAAAACGTCTACTACCTGACTAACCCGAGACTGAGACTGATAATGTAAATGGGATGACTGAGTGTGTGGGGATAACTGAGACTGATGATGTGAAGGGGATATGACTGAAACTGATAATGTAAATGGGGATAACTGAGACTGATAATGTAAAGGGGGATAACTGAGACTGATGATTTAAATGGGATAACTGAGACTGATAGTGTAAAGGGGATAACTGAGACTGATAATGTAAATGGGATGACTTATAGACTGGTAGTGTATAAAAGGGGATGAGATGAATATCTTGTCATGGGGGTGATTGATATTCAGCTCCGGGTTCCTGACTTCCTGGCTCCGGGTTCGCGAATCTGGAGTGGCTAGTTTTCATACAAACCAATGTGGTTAATGGAAATCGAAAAATTTAAAAAGGTCAGTTTTTCAATTGTTGTTATATTGTTAAGAACGTGGCTGAAAATGAGAGTTTTATTTCATTTAGTTTGCCCGCAATAGCTCCGTAAAGTTGGCGATTTTTTTCGCAAAGTTGACTAGTCAGCGGCACGAGCGACCGCCGGGCTTTATAAAAGTTCGACTTACTAGCTTTACGACGAGTTTTTTTTAAAAACTAAAAGATGGCCATTCGAGAGAAAGCTTATGAGAATATCTTTATAGTTCTAACCATAATTTCCATTTAATAAGGCAAATATAGAAATATATTGCGGTGCCCGCGCCAAGTTTGGCACCGCATTATATTCTGCCTGTGAGTTTGTTTGTTCGCATCAATACGTTTCCTTAATCGCCAAGTAAAAATTCCTTGCACATACTTGGAATGCTTGGAATTTTTTCCTAATTATTACTATTAATCTTGTTGTACGTTTGCCAAATTCCTTTTTTAAAGGAACGTTCTTTTTTCAATTTCAATCTCAAACTCTGATAATTGCGTGTATCTCTGCTTTTATGCACCCAAGAAGGACAAAAATACCACCATTCGATTCAGCGTAAGAAATTATACTTACAGATCTTAAATATATTACTAAACAAGAGTATTCGCAGCGATTTATGACGTTTGAAAGACAAACGAATTGAATTGTTGACAAATCGCTCAAATTACTATGCTATACTTTACTAGTAATAGTAAGTTTGGTCTTTGATATCTTTCATATCGTTGGTTTTCTCTTTTAATTTTCGTCCTTAAATAAGTGGATCGGTCTTACATTACGATTTATTTTATAGTACTTTGAGCCAAATATATTCTATTTCGAAGGTTTTAAAGTATAGTTTCAATAAGCGAACTTTATGACAAATCGCTCAAAATTATTAAACAAATTAAAAATGCAGTACGCTTAATCCTTGACTTCTGTATCGTTGCTTTTCTCGTTTCCGGCTCTACACCAGTTTATTCGTCTCACGTTTCTCTTCATTTTGATAGTATTTTTAGATAGTATTTTTAGCCTAAATATTTTATCTCTGAAGATTTTAAAACGGCGCAATTTTGACCTTAATGTACCAACCAACCAGGCAGGCTGCGGCCGACAGGAGAATGTAAGTTGGTGATGTCGTTAGAAATGAGCGGACGTTTTATTTCTAGGCAAGCATTGCGGGCACCGCATTTTAGTACTGTGTCTGGTTGTTCCATTTTTCACTCGTGAAACCATAGGAAGCCCAGACAAATGAGTTGAAGTTAATAAAAGTCCGTAAAACACTTGAGATATGTGTTAAAATTAATTAAAGTATGTTATATGCTACAAAACTACTGTTAGAACCATGTATGTAGCGTGCTCCAGTGGCGCTGCCATTTGACTATGCAACTAGTGACGTAACTTACTATATTATTAGGAAGGATGGAAACTCTCGCCTCAATTTTCAACATGTTCACAAATTAAAACACAAATTATTATTGTAAAACGGCACGTCGACTGCTAAATGCCTACCCTAGGTTTAAGTTGAATAATCAAACTATACTTTCATCACAAAAATAATACTGAATTCAAAAGAAAGCGCTGGAAAAACGTACACAAACTTTGTAAATTTGCCGAAATTTACGTGAATTCATGCGGGATGTAAGTACCTACCCAAAATGGCGGCGGCCAAAAGAATCTGATTGGTCGATCATTCTTTGTTTACCTTTCTCGACCAATCAGATTGGTTTATCATACTTTGTTTACCTTTCTCGACCAATCAGATTTTCTGCCGCCCCATTTTGGGTAGGTACTTACATCCCGCATGAATTCACGAAAATTTCGGCAAATTTACAAAGTTTGTGCACGTTTTTCCAGCGCTTTCTTTTGAATTCAGCATTATTTTTGTGATGAAAGTATAGTTTGATTATTCAACTTAAACCTAGGGTAGGCATTTAGCAGTCGACGTGCCGTTTTACTATAGTGATTTGTGTTTTAATTTGTGAACATGTTGAAAATTGAGGCGAGAGTTTCCATCCTTCCTAATAATATAGTAAGTTACGTCACTAGTTGCATAGTCAAATGGCAGCGCCTCTGGAGCACGCTACATACATGGTTCTAACAGTAGTTTTGTAGCATATTACATACTTTAATTAATTTTAACACATATCTCAAGTGTTTTACGGATTTTTATTAACTTCAACTCATTTGTCTGGGCTTCCTATGGTGAAACTTTAGAAAATGTAATTGCTTGTAGCGGAAGCATTGAAAGAATTTCGTTGTGTGTTTGTCGTTTTATTGAAGTATATTTTAAAAACGCTAAAATATCATCAAAAGCTCACATCATGTTTGGCTGGTGACACTACATTTCGGGCAATATTTTTTCCAGTGGCGTCGCCAGCATCGATAAGTGGGGTGAACACATTCATATATTCATGTTTACAGACCGTTAAAACAATCAATTTGAAACGAAATTAATAATGTAAAACAAGTCTAGGATAGAAAAGCAGGACCGGGTGTATTTAGAATTGCAGTTGGGGTTTTGTAGGTGTTTATAGACGTGTGAGTTTTTGTCAGTGGAGGTGTGTTCTTTGATCCTTGTGGCGAGATGTCTGGTCGTTTCACCAATATAACAGGAATTACATCCTGGCAAGTATATTTGTATACCACAAGGGATTTTAGATCACTGGGGATTGCGTCCTTAAATTTGAAAATGATTTTTGATTTTATAAGAAGTGAACACCAGTTTTAGGTTTATGTCACTGCAGAATCGTTTGGCAATGTTGAGAAGTTTCTGTTCTGTGATTTGAGAGTAGTGTCCTATGTATGGGAGTTTGAGGTAATGAACGTTGGGTTGTTGTTGATCATGCAAATTGCTGTTCAGAGTATTTGTAGTTTGTGAGTTTTGTCTGTTATTGTAAGAGCTAATTGTGCGTTCGATCAGATGTTGCGGGTGTAGCAGTCTCAATACTCCCCCGGTCTCAACATTCCTCTATTACAATGCGCATGCGCACGGCAGAGGTGTTGCGTAACAGACATTCCTCGCGGTCTGAGATCTCCCCTTCTACTTCGCTGCTCGTCTGCGCTACAACTTCTATCGAAAGTCGTTTGAAACACTTGCAATTTTGCGTTTAATGTTAAAAAATGGCGCCACATGAGGAACCTAGAAGTGTTGAACCTCAAAAGTTGACTAGAAAAGATCGTCTCGCTGAGCAAAGCGAGAAATGTGAGCGCATTGTGCACTACCTGCGCCATGGAAAGCATCAAGCTGGTTTGTCGAAGAACCAGCAGCGTGTTGTTCGTGGTCAAGCTAAGAACTATGTTCTGGATGAGACAAGTAAGTATTCATGTAGTATTGAATCTAAAGTTAAGTTATGAGTTATTGGTTATGAGTTATTAGTGTAACTAAAACAGTCAAATGATATCGCCATTCTGATTCACTCACGCTCGTACTGGCGTAGTATCAAGCTCAATAACCTTAGGGGGTTAATCAGTCAATTTTCCTGATAGATTATTATAAAATATCGAATATGGGTGAATGTTTTATGGGGGCTAAGCCTGGGTTGAATGATTGAAAATAGACTTGGAGTTTCAGCTTATAAATATACTTGCTCATTTTGTTTACATTGCATTGTTTATGACTCTCTCTTGAGTTAAAATGGCTGGCTTTTATAGATAGTTGTAAGAGATTAATAGGCTATATTACAATTCATTTCAGATAATGAGCTACATTACACTGGTGGGAAAGTTGGGATCCGAAAGAAGGTTGTCCTTAGCTTGGAAGAAATTTCGGAAATATTGCATCATCACCATAGCAATGCTATGGGAGGACATAGTGGTGTCAATGCTACATTGAACAAAATTTCAAATTTTTATTGTTGGAATGGAATGAAAGAGGATGTCCAAGAATATGTAAGTTTAGATGAGTGTAACAGTTGTTGCAATTCGAGCATTCTAAAAAATTTTTATCAATTCATTTCTTAGGTAGCTAGATAAAAATTTGCTAGTATGTCAGCAAAATATCTGGTATATAGTAACAATATATTAGACTCTATTATCAAAATGTTGAAATGAAGATTTTACTGTTATTTCATATAATTTATTTTTGTTTGATGTTATTTTTGCTTCCACATGGCATTAGTCACTTAAGTACATGGATGTATAGTCATTTAATGGGTTTGTATTTATAGATGACTGTTGTTAATGACAGTTCTTCTGCACCTGATCAAGATGAAGACCAGCTGGACAAGCAAGTATGTGAAAGGATTGCTTCATCAGAAGCCACAAAAAAGCAAGTATGTATTGTATATGGTACAATTTTCAATAAGCTGGAATTCAACCACAATTTTCAATGTACACATTTGTTTACATTAGAAACAAATGCATGCATTGAATTTTGTTTAATCATAAGTGGCAGAATTTTTTTTTATTTTTTTTTTCTGTTGTAGGTTCTTAGCAATGTAGAAGTTGCTCAGGAAAAACAAAAAAAGCAATATGAAAAAAGGAAGGCAAAGGGGAGAGAAAGATTTTTTAACGTTTTCAAAGTACTTCTTTTTTATGCCCCTTGATTAGTTGGAGACACCGTCTTTAAAAAGCAAATGAAGAACGTGTCAAGAAAAGGTGGAAAGATGGAACCTACTTGGATGGGTCCATACAGGTAAATATAGTTTTCAATACTGCAAAAATACAGCCAAGAAAAATAGTGAACAAAATGTCATTGTAACTTGTTTTAATATCTCCAATAACGGTTGCATTCCTAAATTTACCGAAAACTTTCTTTGTTGATTATATACATGTACACTTATCAAAACCTTATTCATATTACTGTTTACAGGGTAACAGAAATTGATCAATTTCAAAGAGCAACGCTAAGTTCCTTGAAAGATGGTGCTGTGCCTTTAAAAAAGAAAGTACCGTATGACCAACTACGACCTTACATGACCAGTGAACTTCATGACATAAACACAGATGACACCATTCCACCAGCTGATGACACCATACCACTGACTGATGACCCCACACCACCAGCCGATAACACCACATCACTGACTGATGGCCCCACATCACCAACCGATAACACCACACCATTGACTGATGGCCCCACATCACCAGCCGATAACACCACACCACAGACTGATGGCCCCACACCACCAGCCGATAACACCACACCACAGACTGATGGCCCCACACCACCAACCGATAACACCACACCACTGACTGATGGCCCCACACCACCAACCGATAACACCACACCATTGACTGATGACACCACTCCACCAACTGGTAACCCCATGCCACCAAAAGAGGACAACATGCCGCTGACCAACAAAGTGTCAAATGGTAAAAGCACCAAATCAAAAAAAGTTCGCAACACCAAATCTAAAAAAGGTCGAAATTGCGACGTTTTGCAATGTGCTGCAAATGCTAATCCTAGAAAGCTGGCTTTAGCAATAATGCAGCAAAATTACTGGCTGACTGATGAACATATCGACCACATACAATGGTTAATATCCAGGCAGTTCCCAGCAGTAACAGGACTTCACTCAGTATTGGCATTTGAAAGCAAATCCCCTAAAGTTGAGAAAGGACTGAAAGGATTTATTCAGATTTTTAATTCAGGAGGAACACATTGGGTGACCGTCACCAACATTGGGTGTGAAGAGAACAAAATTAAAGTTTACGACTCACTTTATCGAGAAATGTCAGCAAATGACAAAATGAAATTGGCAGCCCTGCTCAGCACTACCTTCCCTGAAATGGTCATTGAATGGCCGAGAATGCAGAAACAAGACGGCACATCAGATTGTGGTTTTTTTTTGCTACTGCAGTTGCAGTAACTTTGTGCAATGATCAGAATCCAAGTGAGCAAAGCTATGATCAAAGTGTTATGAGAGAACACTTAGCCATGTGCATCATGTGTGATGAATTGGCTTTGTTTCCATCAACATGGTCAAACATTTTGTTTAACGAGAGATTTGAAGAGTCCGAAGAACTATTCTGCCATTGCAGGATGCCATATGCAGAAGGTCAATTTATGATTGAATGTTCAAAATGTTTGGGATGGTTCCACCGATCATGTGACAATGTCCCAAAAACTGTTCATGAAAATACCTGTTTTCATTGCATGAACTGTAAATAGTTTAGTAAAGTGCAAGTTTGTGAATATTATATATATTTGTAAATATTATATATTTGTAAATAACATATATTTGTAAATATTATATATTTGTAAATAACATATATTTGTAAATATTATATATTTGTAAATTTAAGTAAATTGATGTAAAATTAAATTATTTTAATGATCATTGATGGAAATGCAATATAGTTCTGAAGTGATTTGAAAAAATAGTAATTGCAGATACCCCAGACTGGGGAGCATTCAGACCAGATGCAGTACTCCCCAATCTGAGTGTTATCCCCCTTAATAATGTAAAGGGGGATAACTGAGACTGATGATGTGAAGGGGATGACTGAGACTGATAGTGTAAAGGGGGATAACTGAGACTGATAGTGTAAAGGGGATGACTGAGACTGATGATTGAAGGGGATGACTTAGACTGATATGTAAAGGGGATGACTGAGACTGATAGTGTAAAGGGGGATAACTGAGACTGATAATGTAAATGGGATGACTGAGACTGATAGTGTAAAGGGGATGACTTAGACTGATAATGTAAAGGGGGATAACTGAGACTGATAGTGTAAAGGAGATGACTGAGACTGATAGTGTAAAGGGGATAACTGAGACTGATGATTGAAGGGGATGACTGAGACTGATAGTGTAAAGGGGATAACTGAGACTGATGATTGAAGGGGATGACTGAGACTGATAGTGTAAAGGGGATAACTGAGACTGATGATTGAAGGGGATGACTGAGACTGATAGTGTAAATGGGATGACTGAGACTGATAGTGTAAAGGGGATGACTGAGACTGATAGTGTAAAGGGGATGACTGAGACTGATAGTGTAAAGGGGATAACTGAGACTGATGATTGAAGGGGATGACTGAGACTGATAGTGTAAATGGGATGACTGAGACTGATAGTGTAAAGGGGATGACTGAGACTGATAGTGTAAAGGGGATGACTGAGACTGATAGTGTAAAGGGGATGACTGAGACTGATAGTGTAAAGAGGATAACTGAGACTGATGATGTAAATCGATGACTAAGACCGATAATGTAAATGGGATGACTTATAGACTGGTAGTGTATAAAGGGGATGACTGAGACCAGTATAATAGGTCTTATGGTTGTATTTATATCATAATTGAGATTATATCTAGTGCTTACTAATATTATGACATTGTAATTGTTAATCAAAATGGCAAACTGAATAAATTGCAGCTAAAATGTATGAATGATTATGATGATATAAATGTGATGTACGCTTGTAGCCCGTCCGATTCCGATCATCATCATGACATTCAAATCTATATTCTAGCGACATTTTGTGCTGATTCCATCATACAATACAGAATATTGTCCAACAGTTACATGAAATCACTTACAGAGATCACATTTTAACAGGACTACCTTGTCAAAAGCATTTTTTCTTTGCTTTTCGTCCCATGTACCCAAAGTTTAATATTTTACGCAAATGTCCTCGGAGGATCGTTGAGACTGGGGGAGAACTGAGCCCGCTCTGCTACGTGCTCAGTTGTCCCCCTACACTGCACATGCGCACTTGTTACAAGGGGAGCACTCAGACTGGGGGAGCTCTGAGACCGTGACACCGGAACTGTGGTTTGTTTATGTTTCAGACAACGTCATTCATAAATATGATGTCATAGCATAAAGCAATAAAATCAATAACACCGAAGTTGGCCTCAATAACGATCTAAAAGAACTCACCAACACGCTGCAACGCAACGCGTTCCCGCTGTCACAAACTTCACCGTCTTATACAAGTCAAATGTGTCAGTGTTTGTCAGTGTATCTCCGATGGCATCAGCGTGTGCGTGTGTACACTATATGCGTCATTGCGTCATTCTCTACGTCATTCTCGTGTCCACAGAGCGTTGCTCTTTTGTTCGTTTCCAGGTAATTCGTCATTGGCCACCAGTGCTGGCTACTTGATCATGTTTATCAGTTTATGCACTTCCGGAAACTATTGAGGGCTGTTCTGATTGGTTGATTTGATACTCGACCACTCGACACTGTACACGCTAGCTTTATAAACTCTGCCATCTGTATTCTGGGATAAAGTGAGCTGACAAACTTGCACACTTCGGAGAAAAAGAATTCGTTATTCAGTACTCTTCGGTTTGAATTCATTCGATTGAAAATGTCTGGGATTTCGCTTACGGCCGTAAACCAGTAAGTGCAAAGTTGCAACGTTTCTACTTCATCCAAATTTGATTCTGTTTAGTATTATATGTCTGTTCATACTAACATGCAAAATCCAGTCATGTGAGACTGGATATTATTTGATTGCCAGGCGTTATTGTAACAATTATACATTTTTCCATAATTTGTAGGTATATCGATTCCAACATGGTATGTAACGAGCTAAGTATTGGGTTTTGTTGATTGAAGTTCAGATATAAATTCTATTAGCTAGTGTTTAAGTAGAGGAATATGATTTAGTATCACATATGTATAACAATTACACTTATACCAACAAATTAATCCCAGCAAGCTACTCTTGAGACTATATATAAAGACTGCACCGATTAAACGAACCGTTTTCCTTAAAAATCCGTGTAATTAAAGTTGTGCACACAGAGAAATACATGGAATTTGCCTCCACCCAGTTATTTAATTGAAATAACCCCATGATGTTTATGCATTTCTGAAGCTAGTCAAGGGCAAACCTGTTGCCAACTGGTTTTAAACTGGTTTGATTGTAAGTAATAATGTAATACAATAACAAGTTTATACCAAATTTTGCTGGCTTTGCATTTCAGAAATATGAGACAAATAAGTATTAGGTTGTTAACATGGGTTGCACTTGGTTGAGGTAAAATTTGGGTGTTCATATCCCTAGAAACAGACTGTTCTGCACATCAAAGTTAGCAGATGTGATAGTTAATTGTGTGTCGGGTGTGACTGCATGTACAGTTCTTTTGAAAAGTAATTCAAATTCAAAATATTGATGTGCACAAACATGGAAATACTGCAGCACAATTTTTTTATTTTATAAATATGTAAAGAATATTATAGAACTCAAACGTAACAATCTAATTATACTTTAAAGGCGGTTTATAATTGCTAATTATGAATTCAAATGTTAGCTGTCGTAATTCATTTTATTTGACTACTTGATGTTAAATCACGCACTTCATGTAAAGTAGTTAAATGCAAGCAAATGTTCAGATATTTTAAAACATGGTGAATGTGTGTAAACTACAAACATTACCATTTCCATTTGCTATGCCTCAAAACAAATATATGAATTGCTGTTCATGTATAATCAAATTTGAAGTATACATCCCATTCTTACTAACTAGTTGAACCTGTTTAACAAGTTAACATGCTTATCCATATCCATATCATGTTTGTCATTCATGAGTTTTGTTAATGCTTTAGTAATTGGTGTCCAAAATAAGCAAAGGTGAGATGTATTAATTATTGAATATATCATTCTAAACTTAAACTTTTAGGTGTAATTATCACCATGCAATAATAACATAAATGGAATATGAGAGGTATGGTTTACCCTTGCTGGTAAACAAACAGCAGGGGAGTCCATTCCAGAATTAGCTTAAAGTCATGTGAAAATATTAATATGTGATCTCATATTATTGCAATTCAATCATGCATACATGATGATTGATGGTCATCAATTTAGCAAATGTAAATTTCCTTGTATGTGGTTTTCCGTTTACGTCAATCCTTGTTCTCTATTGTTTGCTCTGTTTAGAAGATGGTTTGAAGTTCTTTAACATTGAATAAGATCGATATAGACTTATAGTTGAGTTTTCGCATCACACAAATTATCATATGATAGCCAGCTAGGTGAAACTTGTTTTCGCGCGTGAGAAAATAAATGGAATTAATGTGTAAATATTGACAAATGAATTGTCAAATCCTAGAACAAACGAAACGTTAGGTCGTAGTCGTAGAAACTGCAAAATATAATCCTATGCATGTGACCCTCTTAAAGTTTCATCCACGGATTCTATGATTTTCCGCGTGTGTACACGCACATGTAAAAAACGCCAACGACATTTGACAGTGAAACTTCTAAAACCAGGACTTTCAAGTGCTTGTTTCCATTGAAGTTATTTAGTTTGAGCCCACCCTGCACGAGCAAATCTTTGGCAAATTTTCTCGGACAAAAGTTTCATATAAACTGCATGGGCAGTCTTTAATCAATCTTTTAGCCGTAATTCATTCTTTATATGTATAACGTCTTTATTCATTATTGTTATCCTTGTCCTTGCAACATGAGTACATGACCATTGCGATTAATAATGCGATACTAATAAATCAGCGATGATATTGTCAATTTTTTATATGGCAAGCGTTTGTTGTGGCTAATTCTGCAATGTGATTGGCTGCTGACAGGTCCGCATTTTCTTGTATCGGTTGCGCACGGCCACGGGCAATACGCAATTCATACCACCTATTAACCGAATTTGAGGTCCGTACTAGAAAAATATCAGACCGAGGTCTTGACAGTACGGACCAAGCGATAGCGAGGTCCGTACATAAAAGACCGAGGTCTGATATTTTCCAATACGGACCGAACGTATTCAGTTAATAAGGGGTTTATTATATGGCATGCAGTATTTGGTTTATTTATTTATACAATTGCGCTGCAGCATTCTTTCCGGCTCTTTCAGTCTTTCGCCAGCCAGTCGCCAAGCAACCACTGAAGTGGCTTGAAAAACAAAGCAAAACTGACGGCAAAAAATGTATACTGTTGCGTTTGCCCGGATGTGATGAAAAAATTAATCATTACAATATATGATTAATTACAATATATGCATGAATTATGCCATATAATGAATAACTTACTAACTTCGGCTGTTCGGTCTATACGGTAAAATTCATGATATTTGATATCATATACATGATATTTTACCGTATAGACCTCACGCTCAGTTAGTAACTAGTTATTCTAAGATGAATAGAATAGATTGCCCTTGTCTACAGTAACTGTATAAACCAACCATGCCCATCCATGGTCGTTTTTCTATCCGATTGTAAATTTTCATTAAAACAGTGAGAATTAGTTAAATATTAGCATACATTAATTATCGTGATTAAATCAGTATTTCTGAACTGCGGCTTCTTTTAATCATTCATGTAAAATTTGCAGGGCACCTTCATAGATGGTTTGGGAACCGCTGTGGCCATTAAGAGTGTCTCTTCAAGCAAGGACGATCGTCCCTTCGTTGTTGAGATGGTCAACTTTGTTGCATCGGTAGGATTTGTTTACCATATTGTTATTTCGTAGCTGTAGTCAATGCTCAAGCCCTGATCATCTTCAATGCAAGTCTCAGGATATTTAGGCTTCGGGGACTTCTTAATTCTTCAATCAATGGCTTAGTTACTTTCAAGACGAAAGTTCAAAATGTACCGTGTATCCAGCCTCTTAATTATCATGCGTGACCACAGGCTAAAAAAATCGCCCGAATTTTTTATTTATACATTATGCCCGCATTTCAACTTTTACCAAATTTTTAACAATAAACTTCATTTTATTTGGTTTAACAACGATTACCAGAAAGAATGTAAGTGACCTTTGGCAAGAAAACTGATTCCATAGGAAAGCGCCGGATGTATTTTCAAGAAAGTGTAACAAAAGTGACCAAATAGAGTACAAATATGTGATATTTATTACAAAATTTGGCTTCAAAAATTCTGGCTATGTCACTCTTTTTCAGTTTCCCCGAATTTTCGGCTGAACTTTGCCTGATTTTTTTTTTTGGGGGGGGGCTCAAAAAAAGCTTACCGGCCAATATATGTTTTGCGACTAAAATATTCGTTTTTTGCACAAGAAACTGTACCACAAAGGTAGTAAGTTTCTGAAAACGTTTTCCTGAAATGGCATGAGATTAAAACTAAACATGCATGCTTGCAGATTCGGTTCGTTCGAGATTCACGCACCGTGAGGGCTGTAAAGCCCGTATCCGGTCGGTTGTTATCGTTTATCATTTCTTTTTCAGAGGATGCGAGATTTGAACATGACAGTTGAATTGAGAGACCTTGGTGACGATCCTCTTTATCCTCCTGATCCTCCTGAACCAGCAGTCAAACTGCCACCTGTAATACTCGCTTCACTTGGCAATGATCCCAACAAAAAAACTGTGAGTAATGTAACGTGCATTAGTCCTTGATCAAACATCGAATATCTCTTGCGCCGAATTAATCGAAAACAATAGATAATAAGCCGAAATACCTGATGCATTAACTAGTGTTTTTAATGTTTTCGGATCCGACGTTTGACCTAAACTTTGCTCACAAACACACGTATTAAAAAATCCTGGAAATACTAAGAGCACACGGTGCATTTTTTTTTTTCAACTTTCTACCTGTAAGAGATGTAAAATAGTAAAAAGTCTTGTCTTCAACTGACATAGCAAAGAGTAGTAACAGTTTCGAAATGAATTTTGTTGAGTTTCTTTTTCTGTAATTAGAAGCAAGTTTAAGAACATTGAGATAATTTCTTTAGCCTAATATAGTGTCATTTTTGGGGAGAACGTTTAGTTCGTTTGAATTGTGTTTAGTTTTGACGGCAGATGTATTCTTATTCTGGCATAAACTTGTAATGCTGTCTGCCATGACGCCAGAATGGCCATATGTCTTGTTTAATATCACTGATATGATTTTCTTTGTGTAGCTATGCATATATGGTCATCTTGATGTTCAACCGGCAGAAAAAGTTCGTATTTTACACCATTGATAACTATGAAAATATTTAATATCGAATCACGTTCGGTAGAACGGCACCGTATATTTATATATTCCAGCTGATCTGAGTAAAAGAATCAACCAGATTATCGACAAAATAACATTTGTACTAGTTGTAGGAAGAACGGGACAAATGACTCCATGCATGATAACTTGTGTCGGGCGCCTCATGACGTCATTAACATTTCATTTCTTCACTTCACACCTGGTACGAGACTCACCGATAATGATTGTTTATGGTTTTTGTAGTCTGATGGCTGGGATACTTGGCCATTCGAAATGAAAACTGTTGCTGATGCTATGTACGGTCGTGGAACCACTGATGACAAGGTACTGTGAATCTCTTCTCGTCTGACATGTGTTGAACTAGTTCAGCCCTTAATTATCCCCTTCCCTCGCTTACAAAATTACCTTCAAAGAATACCTTCAAAAAAATTTTCAAAGAATTCGCGAAGCCGAATCACGCGTACGAATCGTACCGAATTGTACACCCACCCCATCGTCACCCTTCCGCCCATGACGTAAGACTACATTGGTAAAACGTCATATTACATGTGCCAATATAACATTTTCATGCATTTTTGATATATTTTTTTAATTTTTAGGGTCCTGTCTTAGGGTGGTTGAACACCATTGAGGCCTTTCAGAATACTAACACAACAATTCCTCTTAATCTGAAGGTCAGTTTCTATTTAACAAATAGATTACAATGAACCGTTGTCTGTTCAGTTATAAATACACGGTATGACGTCATATGTGATAAGAACAAAAAAAGTGGCCAAGAGCCGCCGGGGCGAGTGGTCACTCTTTTGTTCTAATCACATATGGCGTCATACCGTGTATCTATAACTGAACAGACAACGGTTCATTGTAATCTATTTGTTTTTTATAATAAAACTGAAAAAAATCCAAAATTAAACCGGTAAAAAGAAAATTGCTGTGACGTCATTCCGTGCGTCTGTCCTCTTATAGATCATGGCTCTCGACCAATGAAATTGCTTGAATTCTTTACGTTATTATATAAATATTCACGTTTACTGCGTGTATGGAAAAGGCCCCATGCTTTTGAATTCATGCGGAAAACCAATGCTCAGTTTCTCGTTGCTCGAGGAAGGCGAGACGAAGGGAATAATGTGCTCTACATGCAGGGTGTTGAAAAATATAAATGAAATAAACAGAGCTTTAGGAGGGATATTTGGAATTTATTTTATTCCGTATGCGGTATGAAAGAGCAGTTATTTAGCATCCTTTCTTCAGTTTATAACAACAAGAAATGATCAGGTATATTTAAAACGATATTAGTGATCGAAATCAAACTTGTCTAATTGAAGGCAACACGAAGCAAATTTGAATTTTATACTGCGGAATCAGGTAGACCGTTAAATGTGAATAGTTTTCACGTTAATTTTAACGGTTACGCGATGACGTTTCTAGGGAGACATTGACATTGACACGTTTCTAGGACGTGTATGAACCTAATATGAGCTTTTGATGCGTGTTTGCGCCAATAAGATTGACAATGTCTGTTCAATTCCCATTGTCGGGAAAATGTGGGTTTCGACTGTCAACTTTTTGTACACAATTATTCGGTTATTTCTTAGGCTGCCCAATGACGCAGTAAAAATGCAAAAATATTTAATGGAATTGCATATTATTTACATACTAATGCACTTAATTCCTGTTACTTACAAAGGGTGACTTGCGTGTCTGTTAAAATTCAGGCAATGTACTGTAGGTATTATATAGTATAATATTTTCTATACTATACATGCTAACCTGACCTAAACTTATATTATGAAATGACTGGAAACTCAAATCAGTCAATATTATGTTTTATCGAGTCTGTAATTAGCTAATAACTAATGTTTCCATCATTCAGTACAAAAACAATCATAAAGTTAGTTTAAGCATTGGCCGTTAAATTTTGGCTGCATTATGGTATGGCAGCAATTAAATAATGGTTTAAAATTGAAGCTTCAAACGATGAAAACAGTATAAAATCTTCAGAGACAAAGAAAAAAACTCAAACGTTATTTTATTCTGGGATTACAGTAAACCCTAAACGTTTTATCGTGTGTAGTGATATTTGTCTTATCAAAATTCAAATTACACTCTCAAAAACACCTTTTGAAGTTAAAGCGAAGGTATAATAGCCTTTCACAGTTAGTTTATGCCTTTGCAAAACGGCATACAAAGCAGAAAATTATACAAACAAGGCGCTCGCTAAGCGTTTACTCGAGCTAAAGGAGACTCAGTGCATGTTTTTGTAGTGCTTTAAGCGGAGAAAGTTTATAAATGAAAGCAGATGCGCGCTGTCGTTTAGTTTTTATCGAGACACAGAATTTGCGTTCAGACGTTTAATTTTGATCGCGCAGCATAGGCGTGCAGTCGTTTAGCTTTGATCAAGGTTACAGAATATGTTTTCAGTCGTTTAGTTTTGATCGCGTAAACAAAATATTTGTGCAGTGCCGTTAAGTTTCGATGGAGTACGCTTGGAAAGTACGCTTATAAGGCGTGCAAACAAAAAATACCTGGGTGTGCATCACAAATACATGGGTGCGCATATTAAAACGCACTGTTATTACACTTTTTGTTAATGTAACGTGTCTTATGCCAGAAAACAGTCCTCACCCGCAGCTGATGTTAAGCACAAGAAGCTGGATGTCAAACGAGCCGCTGAACGCCGATAAGATGGTCGAAAATATGCAGTGAACTAAAATAAGACTGGAACGCTTACTCTGTCGCACGTTTGAAGCCATGAAGCCATACTTCGAAATAAAACCATTTGCCATTGGGCTGCCCATAATGGTTCTTCCATGAAGATAAAGTTAGAAAGCTCAATAACTCCTCTTTCTTGCTCTAAAAAATAAATCGTTAAATAAATGAATTACAGCAGTTCAAAGACAAAGTCGTGATTTCGCTTTTTTTAAGGCACTGCATGTTTATTATTCGTGTTATGCTTCCTTGGAACCTGCTCTATAATCCTCTCGGTGGCTTCTACCCATTTAGTATTTTTCTCATTTTTTTAGTTTGTTTTCGAAGGCATGGAAGAAAGTGGAAGCGTAGGTTTGGACAATCTTATTGAATCTGAGAAAGATGGATTTTTTAAGGTTTGGTTTTAAAATCTTGTCGTTCTATGTTTTTATTCAGACAGCACATTCTTCACACTATCAAATATCTCGAAAATTGTTTTCTGTGCAGAAAATATTTTGAAATTACTGAAATTCTTCATCTGTGATCACTTTGTCTTTGACAAAGGCAACTCGCTGCCATTTTGAAAAATCCGCTTCGGTAATGGACCTTTTGCATAATAGACCAACTTTTGAATTAGGCAGCAAAAAGGAAATTTCCGAAAAGTGCAAACTAAATTTAGTAAAATTACCAAGTTTGGCTGCAAAATATTGTAAAGTATGGAAAATATAGCCTTGCGAAGTTGGCAGTTTTGTATGCTTTTTTTATACTACGGCCGGAAGTATGTAACTAAATTAGTTAAACGCTTCCGGACGTAGTAAAAAAGTATACAAAATTAGCTACTTTGCGTGGCTATATTTTCTGTAATACTTGACATTTTGCGGCCAAACTTGGCAATTATACTAATTTCGGTATGCGCTTTTTAGCTGTGGTAATTTATTTCCTTCTTGTTAACTAAATCGTAAGTTGGTCTATTTTGCAAAAGGTCCATTATTGCATAGGCATCTGGTAGACGAATTGATAATTAATTTTGCAACTAACGTAAATTTTTGTTAAAATACTCAAGGGTAGTATAACTGGTCAAGAAACTTTGCCTTGTTATTTCTTTTTGTCCGTAAGAAAGACCTCTACGCATGAACAATGATTTTAGTACGACATGAATGTACCTGGGGCCGGTTGTATCAAGACCGTTTACCTTAAACGGTGGATAAGTCTCTTTTGAATGAGTCAACTTGAATGTTATGTAGTGAATATGTAGTTGTAAACAGTATCTTTGTATTAAGGTAAAAACATTTAGTTTGCTTTTTGAATAAAACGATGGACTTGCTTTCTATTTTGAACTTAACTACCGTTAAAGCTTAACAGGCTTGATACAACCGGCCCCTGGATGACAATATATCAAATCTCCGAAGATTGCTAGAAAGGTTTATTTGAATGTATTTGCAACTATTGGCTAAATTAAAAAAAATACGACTAGGATACTAAACCTCGCATTTTATATTTCATTAAGAGCGTGGACTTCATCACTATCTCAGACAATTATTGGCTTGGTACAAAGAAACCATGTCTTACTTATGGACTAAGGTGCGGATATCTATACTGTGCTAGCTTTGTTGCTGTAAAACACGTATACTTTATTCATGTGATATTCATGCGCTTCGTTTTAGGGGTATCATATATTTTCACGTCACTGTGAATTGTTCTGACAAAGATTTACATTCTGGATCACACGGGGGACCTGTGTAAGTCAACTTTTATAATCTGGTGTCATAGTACGAAAATAGTAAACTGAATAAACATGGGGGCGGTTGTACGAAACCTGTGTAGAAAAGCCAAAAGTAGATCAACATTTTCATATATGAACGTTTGAACATGCGAAGTTCACTGGAAATTTTGGTCAAAACCATATGGAAATATATAGTATGGATGCTATAATTGTATTCTAAATGCCATTTCCATACTACGAATATAGTATGAAAACAGTATGGGTATATTTCCATGGTATGGATTTTGAAAAAAAAAATTCTGTGGTTGTGAAATATATTGTTGTATTCACGTCGAAAAACGTTTCCAGTCTTTTTCGAGCCTATCCATTTATATTTATATTTATATTTGCCATTTTCCAATTTCGGTTTTGTTATATTTATCATTCATATAATTATATTTTGCCGAATCCCCCGAGCGAAGGGTCTATAAATTATATATTATACCGAAAAAACATTGTGAGCTAACTGAGCTTGTAGAATAGCCAAGCATACAGTACAAAGGTTCATGCAGAAAAGTATTTTATAATATAAATCAGTAAAAATACCCAAAGAAGCCGTAAAAAATCACTGTAAAACGTATTTTAACATTAGTCAACTTTTTTGTGCTTTCTGTATGTCTTTCGTCAAGAATACGATTAATTTTCTCGTTAGAATCGTTAATTTTTTATTTCAATCAAACAACAACACTATTCCCGGCATTTTCCTTATACACGGAGGCTCGCGTGGCAGCCACGCGTTTTCCCGCGAATTGATATTACCGGTGAATATGAGTGATAGATATTCACCGGTGAATATCAAAAAATCTGCCGCTGCAACGAATACGGATGACGTAACAGCGATACGGTGAAAAATTTTATGATCTAGAATCAGAATCTAGTTTTCTCATTGGACAATTTGAATTTGAGGTGTAATATAACAGCATAATACGTCAAATGTAGGATTTGTTATATTCACTTCTGCAAAAATATTTATAATATCAATGGTCGATAGTTTGCAGTCCTAAAGTTAGGTGGATTTTTATTTTTTAACTCATTTACGGTAAACATTACGTTTTGACCGTTATAGATATGAGGCAATGTCCGATCTGATTGCTTTGTTTTCAACCTTGATTGACGAAAAAGGAAATATCCTCATTCCAGGCGTGAACGATTCTGTTGCGGAGTTGACACCCGAAGAAGAAGCTCTTTACGAGGGTTTAGATTTCGATATGGTTTGTCTCACATTCTTTGTCAATACAAACGAGACGAAAACAAGTTTCGAACTATTCAGAATAACGAATCCAATGCTTTGATATTCTCTTTTGAGAAGCGCCCTATTCAATGACGATGTTTACTAATTGCGTAGAGCAATAATAGACCCTTGCTAATCGGATATGCAGTATTCTAGAAAAATTCCAATCGAGAAATGACGAAGCGTGAGATTTTGAGGTATTCAAATACGTCTTTATGAAACCATGCAAACAAGCACATGCTATTGTTAGGATGACTGTGTGATTACCAAGATCATGTTATTTCTTCATTTCAATACATCAAAATCATTTCACGCTTCGTAAATTCTCGTGTCACCGGGCTCATGTGCATAAACTGCCATCACACCATGGATTAATGAACATTTAATAAACCTTTATTACTAAAATTGATATGATCTTTCAAACTAAGTTAGAATATACATGTTCAGGATTCTTTTTCTAAAAAAATTGTCCAATACGTGATAGGTTTATTGTATGCATTCAGGCAACCTATCAACAAGAGATTGGTGCCCATGGTTTGACAACTGACAGTGACAAAACTACATTAATGAGAAGATGGAGATACCCCTCGTTATCCATTCATGGTACGTTTCATAGTATTAATTTTGTTGTAGTTGGCAAGATTAGACCTTTTTAATAATAATGACGTAAAACGCGGAAAACCCGATTTCACACAAAATTTTAATTGGCCCGGTAGTTTTGGGGAACCAATCAAACATCGTGTAGGTGGCTGGGGCCGGTTGTACGAAGGCTGGATGGTGCTATCCACCGAATAGTGGTATTCCTAAATTGACGATTCGTTTTAATAAATTTCGTTCCAAAGCTGAAATTTTAATTGTTGCTTTTCAAGCATGTTTAGAACGGTTGAGAAAATCACTATCCGGTGGATAGCGCTATCCAGCCTTCGTACAACCGCCCTGCTGATTTCTATATTCTTGATAATGGACATTTTATCTAACCCAAATGGTTTATCAATGGATCTAAACCTCTCTAATAACCATAGTGTTAACTAAACCGAATCTTTGCACAATATTATGTGTAAACATCCCACTCCGTACCGTAACACTTCCTTGCTTTTCAAATTAGGTTTTGAAGGTGCCTTTTCTGGTCCTGGTGATAAAACCGTTATTCCAGGGGAGGTAATGAAATGGATATTGGAAACGTTACCGTTAATGTCAGCGAAATATTGGTTGTGTAATGAAGCACTCGCTCTTCAACTAACTCTAACCTCAACTAATTTATTATCTTCGATTAAACACAAATCACATCAATATTTATACACGAATATGTGACTATATGTCCTCTAAAATTACATACTTCAAAATGACACTTCTCCACAGTCAAGGAAGTAGACTGCTCGTAGGTTAATAAGTAAGCATATAAAATGTGATTTAGTTGTGCCTTGTTATGCATATAATTACTCCAATATCCGAACACAAACTTAAATGGTTGCTACATTATTGTGCCAAATATTATTAGTGTGGTAAGCTGAAAAAGATGTCTTAGATAACTGATGCCTCCGATAAATGACCATAAATGTAATAATATATTTTTATTTCAACAAGGTGACCGGAAAGTTCTCAATACGTCTTGTGCCCGACCAAGATCCGTCAACGATTGGAGACTATGTAATTGCTCATCTTGAGAAGGTGCATTGTGAACGAGGAAGTCCAAATATACTTAAGTAAGCTTTGATTGTTAATCCAAACATTATGATAAACTTATGTAACGCCATATTAGGCAAACTATTTTACTTAAACACTGCTACTTCTTTCCTGTGATTTCCAGAGTCGCGTTGCTAGGGAAGGCACAGCAACGGGCATCAAATTTCATATTTTTCCCTAATTATCTCCATGATTTCGCGTGATCAACACGAGGGGGCATCAAATTTCATAATTTGCGCTAGGGAAAAATATGAAATTCTTTGTCCCTAGTAATGTACTGCTATTTTTGGCACGCATTCGTAGGTTAAGGTTTACCTATATATATTTGCATGTATGAGATCGTTACTTTTTTTCTAAAAACAAATAATTGTGTTTTTATGCACTCACAAACCGAATGCGGTCTGGACTTCTAAAGGTCTGGACTTCTTTCACTTCCAATTTTTGCTGCGGTTTAATGCGCGATTTTCTCCTTTTGGTAGATGTAAACGAGTTAATTAATTACTGATGTTCAAATAAGACCTCTTGCACATCAGAGCATTCGTAACTAATTACTCATTCACATTTATCAAAAGAGGAAAATCGCGGCAAAAATCGCAAGTTAAACGAGCCTTAAAGATTCTGATATTATTTTAGTGCGAGGCATTCTGAAGGTTTTGCTCGTCCTTGGCGCGGTAATTTTGATAATGTTGTTTTTGAAGCTGGGAAAAAGGCAACCAAAGATGGTATGATAATTCTTCTGTTGTTCCACCGTTAACTACCGTTACATGCAAATTTAAAATTTGATTTAAGAGATTTTCGTACAAATTTTGCATGTTACATGAGCACTTGTACACGTCCTTGGTCGTGTTAAAATTCATATCTTTTGTATCCATTATAGGCATAACGTTTACATTTGTGATCAGAAATTCTATTTCTCTAACAGCTCAACTCTAGACTAGTCTATTTTTTTTTATTTTCATTCAGAAGAACAAAACCAGCACCACAGCTGGATAGGGCATCTTAAAATAAAGCGACTTAGATATATGATTGCAAATTCTTGCAAATAACTTTCTGAGAAATGTAGAAAAAATTTCCTGGAATTGTTAACGTTTCCTGCTATTTTCCTTCAATGTGCTTGAATGATCATGAATTCGCTTTGCACAGGATGAAATCAAATTATTATTTTACTTATGGCATCTAGCCCTAGCCAAATATAAATGCCTAATATAAATACATGAGAGATGCCTTCGGAGGAGGCTATATGGCATCGTTGATTAGATTATTTCTAGATTTCCCCACATTTAGGGATTAGGGTTAAAGTTGGGGGAAGTTGGGTTTAGATTGGGTGGGGTAGACTTGGATGCATGTAGCAGAGGTAAGGAGTATAGAAGTTAGGGTTGGTGTTTAGGGTGCCTTGAAAAAGACCCTGCAATAAACCATTAATTTAAGCCCTGTATACGCAACACTCAATTTATTTAGCACAGCACGGCTAACATTGGTATCCGCGTGCACAGTTTTATTCGTGTTCGTGCTACGAAGCCAAGCGCTGCTGGAATTAGTACGGGTACCCATTTCAAGCCTGCGGTGCCAATAAATTGAGTGTAATGTAAACGATTCGCAAGGGTTCTTGTTAAATTGTTACAATTAGTCTATTTACAATTTAGAATATTTACTCTGTACGAGTAAGAACAAACTAACTTATTTTTATCCCAGTTTACGGCGAGGATCCAGACTTCACTCGCGAAGGTGGCAGTATCCCTGTTGTGTTGACACTGTCTGATACCACGGGCAAAGATTGCGTCCTGGTGCCAATGGGACGATCCGACGACGGCGCTCATTCTCAAAATGAAAAATTGGATATCCCCAATTTCCAAAATGGGGTAACAAAATAACATATTCCAACCAACGTTGTATATAATATTCCATAATTGAGATAGAACACCCAAACTTTAGATCGAAAATAAGCATATCCAAAATGGCGGTTGCTGTAATAATATTTTAATTTGTTTGTATTTCAGATGAAGCTGTTTGCCGCTTACCTGAAGGAGCTGGCGATTCTGACTAGCCGTCCACGTTGAAGACGACAATTTCGAGCATGAGAACTTTTCTATATACTTGGCCAGTAGTTTAGAATATTAGTAATATGTTTCATCGTTTTTGGTACCAATAAACATGTAATCAACTGTCACAATAATATTTGGTTTCGCAAATTTCATGTGTCTTCCGGATTGTTTTGTACGGTTAACCTTATGGAAAGTTTTCCCTCATGCCGAAGCCACAAATATTTATATTGGCAAAACGCAAAAGCGCGAGCTCACTTCACTACAGCTTTTTAAAACAAGCCTACAACGGGGTCGCATCTAGACCACTTAAATAATGGACCATATTAGACGACCACTTGCGACAAATAGGGAATTTCCAAAAAATCCTTGGCAATTATACTAATTTCAGTATGTTTTTTTAGCTCTGGTGATTTTTTCCCTCCGTGTTACCTATTAATCACAATTGGTCTATTATTCATAGGGAAGGGGGTGTATTTATATATTGATATACATATATCATAGGATAGCATGCAAAAGAAACGAGTCCGGGCATAAGACGAATATATGAATAGGCTCCCCCCCAAAAAAAAAATTCTAACTACACCTCTGCCACCCAAATGCAAAAACGAAGTTCCGCTCTGGTTATAGAACAAAATGAAAACAGATACGTAAGGTAACAGCACATTGTTCATGGGATAATTAACCCCGTAATTATTAATTGTATTTCCGATGGAGATAAATGGAAAGTATAGAATTCTGATTTTTAATTATTACTGATTATTATTACTGATTACTAATTATTTTGAAGTTATAAGTTGTATTTACTTTAATTGCATGTTGTCATGTTTACTAAAAGTAGGAGAAAACAAAAGTTTAGTTTTTTTACTGTGCCGTGAGGGTTTGATGTTCTCAAGTTTCTGCATTATTGTTATCCATGTTAGAAAAACCCATTCTTGGATACTCTAACAAATTGGAGATATAAATTAACGCGTCAAGAATAAACAGCACCATAGAGAAAAAGGCAAATACCTAAAAAAAAGAAAAAGACCAATGTTCTTTTTGAATAATCGCATTTTGAACTGATTGGAAAACGAACTTGACATAATATCATTTTTCACCCAGTGAACTCTATGTATACAACAACAACGCAGAGTTCAGTGAATTCCACTCTCGGTTTGATACTTACCACACCAACTGTCAGCTGACCACATCGAGCGTCACTGGGGCTGGCTTTGAGGGACTTGCATCCACCTACTTTTTGTTTGGCGTACGTTTTCTCTGTTTTCGTAAGGAGTGATGCAGAGATCAAAATTAATATGGAACAAAGGGCGCGAAGTGTGACCATCTACACAGAAATATTTAGAAGAAAAAAATTTTTGAAAAAATTGCATTATGTTTTTATTTGATTAATTTCGGAGATCCCTGTACAGGAGATCCACTCTGCAGGTAACGTGGTATCATATTCTGATATTCCTCATCGAGTGTCAAGTTTAACCACAGCGAATCATTTTTAAGCAAATCTTAATCGTTCTCTCTATAACGAATTTGCGCATTCAAAAACGGACTTTTTAAATATTACAAGTTAGCACTAGAAGACGTTTTTGACGTTGATGACCCAAGGACATGGAAATCTATATGTTTGTCTTGTAACAAGTCTCGTAATCTGTCCTGTCAAATATCGTGTTGTTTTTAGATTTGTGTTTGTTGTATAGTATTAGTATAGTTTATGGGGCCGCTGTAATTGGTGAAAACTGTAGTGTGCACCCTGCCAATTTTCCATATTATATATTGTTGTAAATATACTGGTAAATGTTGCATATTACTTGGCAAAGTTAATAAATAAATAAATAAATGAATAAATAAATATTCAAGACATAATCAAAATATAGCTTTCAAATTGAAGATAATAGATGTTGCAAAGAGCGCTGGAAGGTTAAACATTATTTCAGTTAGTTAAATCTAGAAACCTAAAAGTAACCAAAACAATCATTCAACACAAACTCGATTTGATTACATGTCCAAAGAGAACCTGATTGAGGCCCTCAGGGACGTTATTATAATAAACTGCTGGTGGATTTCCTAAGCCAGCGTGTCGTCGAACGAGCTTCAGCGTCGTCTTAATAATCATATCGGACTGCAAAATAACCGAGAAATGAATCGCCATAGAGTAATGATATTTTCTGTAAAAGTTTTCTTAAAAAGCATACAAAAACCTGACATAATATTAAATCATATGATCATGATTTCCGAATCTTTTCCTCTATATTTAAAGCATGCAGGTGCATGGACATCCGTGTGGGAGATAATGATAACCTCGCCTAATTTGCATCTTTTGCGTCAACAAGACCTGTACAAGTGATAAGGTTATTTAATCACTGCTACTGTATGAAAATATTACCATTTTACATGAAATATTAGGCATTCTGATTGGCTTTGCATGAAAGATGTAAACACATATTCCGATTAGTTTTTCTCCCAAACATATAAATTACATCTTTTTGATCGTTCCTGCGCGTTTTACAATACACTATGTTAGGCTGAAATATTGGTTGTTGTTTTCGGACGTTGAGGGTCATTTGAGTACTTTTTGTGTCTAAAAGATTTAATATGATTCCTGTATCGGTCTTTAAATGTTTTTGTGTTCATGTTGTGCGGCTTTGTGGAGACAGGTACCTTCTATACTATGTTCTTCGTCATGCATTGCATGATTTCCTGGGGGGTATGTGCTCTTAATAGTACATATTCCTCCACAATTTTCTGGAATTGTGTGTAAATAGGCTACCTAAATCTGCAGGTTTGCAACTGGACAAACTCTAGAAGTAATGCGTAATTATATCCTTAAATAATGTACCTTAAATCCTACGATGTTAGGATGTCAAAAACTGTTTAAAAGTTTTGCCTCTTTTGGTAAGATTTTCGCAACGATTTGATCACTTCTGAAAAATATTTTCACAGCCACCTTTTCTCCACTTTGCACCAATTCCGCTGTAAAAACGGAAGCCAAACGAAGTAAAACCCTCCGCGTCCAATCTCATCTTTGTTAAAAAATCTCTAAACGAAAAGCTCGCGGTAAATTCAAGTCTTCAAATACTGTGAAATGCCAACATTTTCAACAGCCCGAGCTCTTCGTGTAAAGCAGCCACGACGTGTTTTTATGACGTACAAAATAATACAATTGAATGAGAAAAAACTACATATATTAGTTTCATTTTCGAAATGCAGATTTTCCAAAAATTTTCAAAACCGTACGAGCATAAAAATATTGTGTGTCGGGCGAATAATTTCGGCAAAAATAACCCAATGCGATAGTACAAATTCCCCGAGTATCACTATTCTGCCAAGTATATAGAGCGGAAGCAGTAGTCCCCTAGCGCCGGGAGTAGCGGGAATTCTTTTTGTGCATTTGCGGAAAGATATGCTATACTTCTCATTTCAATACTCATTAGAACTATTCTGTTGTTTGTGTGTAGATGTTCAATGTAAAAAGAGACGTTTTATCCCCGTATCCGTTCCGCATTTTATCCCATATCCTTTCCTCATTTTAACCCTATATCCGTTCTGCATTTTATAACCCCCCCATTCGTTCCGTCGATCGTTCCACATCCGTATCCGCATTTTAACCCAACCCCATACAACTCTCAAACAATTGATCTTTTCACACTCTATGGATACCTTAATGGTTTTTTTCTAGCGGTCGGAAATCATCGGATTTTACGCTTTTCTGAAATCTGATTGGCTACGAGAGCGGTCCGCATGAGACCGTACCGACCGCGCGAAATTTTAATGCGAAATTTTAAGTGATGACAATGAATCATGAAATGAACATGTTATGAGCAATCTTCTTCAAGTTTGGCGTCACTTAAATTCCCTCGGATCACTTCTCAATGGCGGAAGCATTCTCCCTCATCGACGAGCAATATCAAACAGGTAACATCTCGCTAGTAAATTCTCGCTCGGACCCGAGGGATTTATGCATGTAGCGCCAAATAAGGAAGATTGGTCGTGCATGACATGGTCATTTCAAACGCGAGTAAAACGAATATAAAAGCAAAATTCAAGCATAAATTCTGTTTAGTCCGATCACGTTACTTACCGTTTAGTTCGTTCCTTACTGAAAAATATTTTTTCAGAACGAACCACCCATGCAGTTGGTAAATAACTTATATTTATTGAAAGCACTTTACCTGTGCGGCGAATTTCGGATTTTCCTGACGGTTTAAAATTGTAATAATAAACGATATTGTGCTACATAGTAGTCCAATTGCCGCTGCAGTCAAGAAAAATTCATGTCTACCATAAATTCCCATGTCGACCAAACGATGATAAGAAGTTAACCCATCAGCAGCAAGCTTTTTCATTTCATCCATGAAATATCCAACTGATCCAATGGCAATTGAAAGTGCGATCTGGATATTGAGTTATATACATAATGAAATTGCTGAGCATATATTTCGAAAATTAGGCAACTATAATATCTCTACAAACCTATATATTAACTATTAATGCTACATTAACTGCTAATGACTGTATTAAAAATTTTTAGGAAAAATTTTCACATAATAGACATTTGCATAATAGACCAATTTTTGCTTTGGTAACAAAAAATGAATTTCTGACAAGAGCATACTAGACTTAGCCGGTAAAATTGCTTAGAAAAATTGTAGGGTTTGCCTGCGATATATTGTATAATTATATATGAAGTACGTGTAGTTGGCAAATTTTGTATATTTTGTATAGGTTATTAAATTATAGTTACACACTCGCTCGAAATGCAAAAGTATACAAAAGTTGCCTACTTCGCATGGCTATATTTGCCGTATACTATAATTTGCCGTATACGAGACATTTTTCAGTTTGTTCTTTTTTCTGTCATTTTGTTACCTATGGATCATAAGTTGGTCTCTGTATTATGCAAGCGGTCCATTGAACGCGGCTTTGTAAGTTCTTTTAGGAGAACACTGTCAAGAAATTGAGTAATGTATTTTCATATTTTGCCGGTTGCAGAAATACTAATTTTAACTGAAACAGTTGCCCTATCGTTGAAATCCCAGAAATTCCGCAAATAGGGATTTGCCGGATTGGCATCCTTCCCATCCCTTATGCGAGACTTACAGTGAGAGCAAATTTAAAAAATTTAAAAAGCAATTCAGTCATATGTCCAGTCCCAAGCCTGGAATGAGAAATTGGTGAGGGGAAGGAATATTATTGTATGTAGCTAAAGTGGAATTGATCATGGTAAGCAATAGTGATATGTTGTCCTGCTTGTAGCTCCTCATACTATCTCGGTAAATTTAAATAAAGCACGCTTCGGCTTGTGCACTCTTGATTTGCTATAACAACTTTTCTAAATTTTGATATATATATATATATATATATATATGTATATATATATATATATATATATATATATATATATATATATATATATATATATATATATATATATATATATATATATATATAGAAATGTTAGCTTACCATCTGCGCGATTGCCAATGCCATTAAAGAAATCCGCTTCAAATGAAACATCTTAGAACCTAAATAAATCATATACTAAACAATTACTTAATAATTAAGTGTCCAGCGACGGAGGTTGCTGCGTTTTTGGATGGCCTAATCCATGCACGCGGGAATGTTGCAAGAGTTCAGAAAAGCGCGCGAAACACGATTTGAAGGCGAGCGATTTTGCGAGCTTTTTCTAACTCAAGCACCATTCCCAAGTGTTTGGTTCAGGCCAAACACTAAGTAATTGTTTTTAATAAAATAACAACTAAAATTAAGGTAGTGCATGCTCCAAGTGTGATTTCCAAAAGCGAATTTTAAAATTTCCGTGTTAGATGCATATGGCTTGACCAAACACACTGTCTTCGACTAATCAGAACATGCACACCTTATATATACACGTTATTAGTCGTAGTCATATCACTCTGTGTCGCCAGCGACTGTAGGTTTTTGCTTCATGGCGAATTTTCAGTAAAAAAAGACCTACGTCATCTTTTTGTCAAAAAATACGTCATTACTATTAGTCGTTGGATTCCAGATGCCCGCTTACTCTGAGAAGCGTATTTATTGTTAATTTCATTGATTTTGTACATAATTTTTTTTTTTTTTGATGAGCTTAAAGAGGTTTCCCATGAACCAGACTTTATAAACCGAAAGTCATCTTATGTGAGATTGCGAGTAAAATTGAAAGGCTGAAAGCTTGAAATAAAGGACAAAAGTTCAGGGGCCGGTTGTACGAAAGGTGGATAACTTATCCAACGGATAAGTCCTATCCAACGGATAAATATGCTATCCAGTGGATAGTTATCCATTGGATAAAATCGTGTTGCACGAAGCGTGGATAGTGGAGTGGATAGCTATCCAATGGATAAGTTAAAAATTACCCGGAGAAAACAGGATTATCCTGAAATTTCGTACCACAACGTCAGCTGTTGCTAAGCATTTATAACATTGAATCATTCTGAATTGTCGATTAGTTACTGATTAAGTGATTTGCACTTCACATACTAGCGATTTTATTCAACACATTGCAATTTTATTCCTTGACCTTGCGAGGCTTTGCCCTTCGGTTCCATAATAAATTTAGGAACACTATTTTAAAGTTTTGATTGGCTAATCATAGCGAAGAACAAAATTCGTAGCCTTGTTGTCTTTACTTGTCTATTACGTGATTGAAATTGCTTAGATATTAGCAAGTTTCCATGGAATAGGTTTAATTTTCTTTGCATATTCGCTTTTATAAACTGGTTAGAAGTATATAATAAATTTACCGCCTGTTTAATATCATTGTGAGGATGTCCAGAAAAACGCCGCTCGGAACGGAATGTGTAAACAAAATGAAATGCTGCTGCGACAAATATAACAATGGCTGGATTTCACTTCGAAAACAGTTTTAATAGTGAGTACAATCATGTACATTTGTTGAAACACAGTAATAGGAAACTTGCTTTTTTGTCCTTTTTCATCGTAAATGTTTACAGTTTTATCTTGTATCTTCGAGTTTATCCACTGGATAGTGGATTTAAACTACCTCCGGACCTTGGATAACTTTATCCAACGGATAGGGGTTTTTATCCGTTGGATAAATTTATCCAAGCTTCGTGCAACGCAAATTTCACGCTGGATAAAAGTTATCCGTTGGATAGCGACTTATCCGTTGGATAGCGACTTATCCACCTTTCGTACAACCGGCCCCTGGTTTTTTAATTTCACAAAGTTTAACGGCAATAAATCGCTGTAAACCGGCTACCGACTTTCTGGCCGGCTATCGACTTTCCTATTTTATTTGTGTATACAATTATAATTAAAAAAAACATACTGTATAGGCTTTACTTAAATAGCCCTAGCGACTAAACGCTCAACCAAGCGTTTTGTTACTCCGGGTCAGCGACGGAATTGAAATTCGCCTCGGTTTTTTTTTGTTTGTTTTTTTTCGTCGTCGCAAGTGTGTTTTAAGTGTGTTTCAAGTGTGTTCCAGACTGGAACAAATAAACCGTTCTTTAGATAGTGTTCGATTAAGTTTAGATTGAATTGGGGTAGGAATATATTTAATACATGTAGATTCTGGTCCTATTTTAATAATATCGCATGCTAGCTATTTCGCCGTTTAACAAGATGTGTGACACGTCGCAGTTTGCACAGGATTGAAGATTTAATATAACTATTTAAGCGCGAATTCCAAAGGCAAAGCGAACGTATTATGCGGTTTATTTACATTTTTGAACAATTGAACTTCTATACTTTTTAAAGTACCCTGTGCTTCTGATTTCACGATCGAATTACATTTAGGTTGGCAGGGCATCTAAATGAGTATGAACTGTTTTGTTTATGTTCAGAAGCTCTCTATATTGAGGACTGGCACGTGCGCGGCACGCCGGAGTTAACGCCAGAACAGACGCCTTTTTTTTTAAAAAAACGACGCAAAAACCGTGCTAATTGTAACTGAATATAACAATTTTGAAACCTGGTTGCATATTTCCTATTATTTTAGCCGACATGCAATTTTGAAATGTTTCTGTCGCATTGGAGCATGTGGAAACTGAAGATGTCGTCGTACAGGCCGGCTTTCATCAGTCTTGTTTTTCTTCTCTTTTTTTGAACAAAAGCCGACAAAACTTGAATACGAAACTTGAATAAAAGTTAATTCCATAATTTGGTTTGTTTCTTTTCATTCCGTGTTTATGAAATTGGCAAGTTTCAATATATATCATATTCATAAGATTTATTTTAAATCCATGCCATATATTAGTATATAAACTGAATTGTCTAACAACCACCTGCAAACCACTATAAACTGACGCGATCGTATGAATATGTTTTTTCAACTGAATGTAAAAGCGCTTGCCTAATCTTATTTATTGATTTGCAATATCGACCGACGTATCAGTGTCAACTTCAAATCGGTCTCCTCGGAATTGTTAGTTCCCAATTTGAGTTGTCAATTTGAAAACATAAATCCATTGGCAATGGCAGTTGCAGTGCTTCCAACGTCTTATACCTGATTAAATTCATACGATTAAAAAATATATAAAACTATGCAGTAATCATTATGGGACGTTCTGAAATCATTTTCAATCAAAATATAACTCTTTTTGTTCTCTTAAGTTAGGCTATATCTTATATTTTGCAACATATTGATCTCAGGAATAGGAATGAGTTCCGTTATACATTTTTACAAATTGTTGGCCGAGAATCCATTTTAGTATTGTTTAAATTATTGTTTACAGTTTACCAGCACAGGCTTTTTATTGCTTCTATCATCTTAGAGAGTTTTTGGGACGTCGTATTCAAGTTAACTTTCTGTCATGATTTGCACCGAAGTCTGAGAACGGAATTCATAGCGAGAGGATTGGACTGACTTTATACTGCAGTGTTGCAAAACTATATATATTAGCTAAAACTACATATATACTGCCCGGTGCATGCATGGCTGCTTATAAACAAGACAAATTATGCAAATAGCGCTTTGAATTCCTTTAAAAGCGGCTAAAATGGTCAAAAGTGGTCATATTTTAAATTGAAATAGAATACAGTACATTTTTTTGTTCTAGACAGATGTAAATTACGATATGCAGAGTTTTTGAAACCCTCCGTTTACGAGTAATCTGTCTGCACTGCGTTAAATTCAAGAGGTCGCGGTCTGGCCGTTTTTAAGGTTTAAAGGAAAGCGCGCGCGATGTTCACCCACCTCTGATCCGTAATATCCAATGCTTGTCTGTTTTCAATGCACCTTAGAATGCTGCTGTGAGAGGTACTGATTAAGTTACGCGTTGCATCACTTGCATGTGGTTTGTACCAGGTTTGTACTTTACAACGACCTCGCGAGACTTCAGCGGGTTTCCCTCGCGTGAGAGAGCTTTTGTAACGAATGGGTAATCAATGACATAAGTACTTGAAGGAAAACCTAGAATGTGGAAAAGGTACTGTTGTGTGCCAGAAATTGCAAGTATAATAGAAGAAACCCCAAATTGTCGTTCCATAAGATTCCAAAAAAGCAGGATTTAAAATGCAAGTGGTTACGAATATTAAAGACAAAATGTGTGAAAGATTTCGGTTCTAGCCATGCATAGAGTATGTTCCTTGCATAATTAAAAGACATGTTTAAATTTAAAGACATATTGAAATAACATTCCAACTATTTACACCACTCAAGAGAATATTAAATCAAGAAAACCACCTACTCTAAGAACATTTGTTCAAAATGAAGTTGCAATTCAAAACACAATAGAAATTGAGGAAAATGCACAAACTGAAAATGATATTTGCTTCAACCGAAGTTGGCATTTTGGAGCATGAGAAAGTAGTTGTACAATAAAACAAGAAAATTTCAAATCCTCAAGATGAAAACAAAACTACAAACCAAATATAATGAAGATATGGCTAAAATGACACCTCGCTTATTTGAGATGGAAATGTTGATAGGCATTGAATACGACTCGTTTTCAATGCCGCCCATGCATTTACAAAGCCTTTTACCAAAAAGCAAGAAATTTGACCTTTGCTTATATTTGCTTTAACTTAAACATAGTGCACATATTTTTTTTAAACATTTGGTATCCTTGTTTTTTGTGAGAACATGTACAACCAGTATCTTCACTTTCTAAGTGTTTTACAAGTAGTTCATATTATGTAAAAGGTGGAAGTCCAGTCAAACATTTTGTCCATTTTTAGTTGCCTCATATTCTTGAGCAAGCCAGCAAGGTCATTGTTTACGTAAGCTTAGGTGCTGTGTTCAGGTTGCATTATTACTGTATAAACTTTTACTTTTTCCTCTCAAATTCGAATTCAATATTAAAAACAGCAATTACGAGCCTGAACACAATTCTCTTCAGCATAGAAATAAACCAAATGTAGCAAGACAATTTAAAACTTCAAAATAATCGCTCTTAAAACCAGGCTTTTTAATTTTAGCATTTTCCCGCCAAAATAAACCACAGACTCAGGTGTCTAGACTGGCTCCGTGCAACTTAAGTTAAGTTGTGTCCCAAGTTGTCAGTTTTCCGGGGTCTTAAAAAGACGTTACTAGCGGCTTAGGAGTGAAGTAACTAGGGATCTGCCAAGAAACACTAACAAAAAACCTTATTTTGAAATAATATAGAGCCGATCGCGCGTAGAAAAGACAACATACCTATTAAAGCTCGAGTAGCCAGACTTCAGCGAGTAAATTTTCTCTTCGCGTGTTTATATTTCGTCACATTCCAAGCGCATTTTCGCTGTTAACAATACACTAATCGGCGTTAAATTTTCTTTACCAGCAGAAAATAATCTAATCTGTCAAGCGATGTCAAAGAAAGTTTCGACCAATGTCGACAATAGAAGCAAAGCGAGAATATCTTTTCCAAAACGGAACAGTTGCCACACACGGGCATCCATTTCGTTCGAAAGCAACTTACAGCCTCCTACCGTCATACATCACAGCCATGCACTCATGCACGTGACGTCATAATGCAAGTGAATTTTGAAATTTCATTACACCGGGGGGGGGCAATTTACCACCTCCCCGGTTTCACTTCCGATAATTTTCAGTAACGTGCAAAAAATCCTAGATCCGCCCCTGGCACTTTATAGAAAGAACGGCAACTTTAAATTCGTCATTATATAACAAGAAGAGACGCGGGTGAAGTTTACAGTTTATATTGTATTTCCAAAACATTAATGAAACAGGTTTTATGATACTAATTAGCTAAAAAGAATCATGCGTTTATGAACTAAACTTAACTTTGCTATACACACAAAAAGATGCGCTTGTGTCACAATTAGCCCTTCTCACGATTACGAATATGCCGCCATTTCAGTTGGGTTACTTTTCCTCAAAACTGCAAGCGTGAGACCTCATAACGGCCACAGTCCTCATTTTAGACTGGAGTTATTCTCCCAATGGTGTGTTGATTCTTTTTTAAATAACCCTAAATACCACTAAAAATGCTTTTCATGTTATTATAACTTTTGAAACCCCTTTCAAAAATTTGAAAAAAGTACCCCAAAAACGTCATCGTAAGAAAGGCTAATACAACTGCTTTTTTACTATGTTAATTGCCAACTGGCTAGAAAAAATCAACTTTATCAACTAAACTTAACTTTGCAATACACACGACAAGAGACTCTCTATTCATCATCGTTCCCCTCACAAACGTTTACCAGAACACTAGAATTTGAATCACGTCGCAAACGCCTTTTGCGACAAAGTCTGGAAAAACATTTAAGACAAGCCCTGCTGCAAACGAAAAGAAAACGAGCGAATATCGAAATAATTGCAAAGCATACAAGAAGAACAAGAATTGCAGGAAACATCCCTAAAATAAGAACCTCCAGCCATTTGAAAGCTTTGAAAACTGGGACCAAAGGTCCCTCGATGCTTTGACGAGAACTAGAAAACACGGACCTAAACAGGTTGATCTGACCTAAAACTATCAAAGATATTAATGAAACGGATTCTAGGTTGTTCAAGAAAGAATTTTGAAATGGTTTAATTTTGAGATGAAGACAAAGGATGAAAAGGCAAGCAATCGTCATGCAGAATAATCTGATGGATGGCTCGGTCACCACGCAAAAGATTACAACCAAAATAAATCGACGAGCAATCAAAATGCTCTGCCAATACAAAGCTCCTCGCTTGCTCGTTTCATTTGGCTGTGCATATGGACCTAGAAGCAACTCTTTCAAGGCATTCAAATTTTCGCTTTCCTCGGCATGTTCGTCTTCAGATCGACAAACGATGCGGACAAGCCTTTGAAACAAGAACAACAAAGGACAAACAACAGCTAGGAGGAAATTTCTGACGGTTATTTCATCTTTGTAAAGCTTGAATGGAATCCAAGCAAGAGCGAATATGAATGGGACGACAAAGATGGCATTGAAAATGAACGATGCATATTGCCACCATTCGTAGCATACGACGTTTCCGTTGTAAAACCATCTTAGCTTGCCTTCAACGGGCACACAGCGAATTAGCGAAATACTGACAGTGGCCAGGGTGACGTAGCCAAGGAACACTGTTTTGACACTGGCTTGAAGGTAGGGAGAAATGTCAGGTCGAAGAGAACCTCTTTTGCAACGTATGAGGACGTGAAAGGCATAGAGAAGAAAGATTGCAGCGAGCGTCCCGAAGACCGGAGCAACTTTAAAAAGAAGCTTTGTCTTTGGTGTCAGACCTGGAATGGGGCAGACAAAACCACGGTTTGTTACACCTGGTTGGAAGTTGAAAAAGCCAAGGATGGGCATGAGAAATTCAGTTTCAAAGAATTCGGTCAGTGAAGTCGACCAGAGAAGCAGTTGTGATATTTGGTAGAAATAAAAGATGATCTCCAATAAACCCGAAAATTGTCTTTTATCTTGTTTTGTTTGCTCTGATGAAGACAGCGATGGATTGTTTTGTTCAGTGTCGTCCTCAGGAACCAAAGCCGTTTGCCTGTTTGCGAAGCGACTGCCATCTATAAACGTTTTAAACCAAAAAATCTGTCGTAAAGAACATTTTATGATTGGAGGTTTGAAGACGAAGAGAGCTGCCATTAAGAAGACATACACTAGAAATACAATCCAGAACCAATAGTTGTTGCATTTTCGTGTTAAAGTACAGTTCGTTGACCAGAGAGCCTCTGAATAGCCAGATGAACACATTCCACACATAAAACCAGTACGTTTACCTTGACATGCATTGTATTCAGTGCTGTCAGATGGCGGGGACTTGCAGTAGCCAAACGGGCAAGTGATGAAAGCCAACGTAGGTGGATTCGAACTTGTTTTATATCCCCAAAAGTTCGATTTTGATCTAATGTATGGAACACATGCTGCGCCTCGCGGGCATGGAAGGCACTGGAAACGAGAGTCTACATTCAATCCTCTCCCCGTTCCTCTTTGCAAAGAATAGAGATTGTAGTCACATTTCCTGCATGAGAAAGTGAGTGCGCTGTAACCACGACTGTTCAGGCTGAAGTATTTATAATTAGTCATTTCAATGGTGTTAGCCAAAGGACAGATACTAAGGGAAGAGTTATCCAATGAGATTTGCTCTGCTTTCGGTATCAGGATTATTGGTTCGTCGACAGGCTCAGTGATACGATTAAATGTTGTATTATTTATATCCACCTTTCCAGTGCCATAAAGCCTTAGGAATGAAGAGGCTACAAATTCCATCCCATTACTCGTAGTGATCTTCGGAATAGTTTGCCTAAACACACAATGGTTTAAACTCAAATTTGATTGTTCACGATTAACAATTTGGCTGCCTTGGAACCGGGCAAAATTATTTAAAATTGTGCAATTTGTTAACTTTACTTCCCCTCCTGTCACCGCCAAAACGCTGTAAACTAAAGCGACATTTTCTTGGAACAATACGTTGACAATAACAGCCTGAAAAGTCCGGTCAAAACTGTTATCTTTTTGCGGCTTATAACCGAACAAACCGGGAAGAAATGCTATCTCTATTGCGCCTCCTGAACTGACCAAATTCTTGTTCCGGAAAAACGAGGAATCTTCTATTCTTAGCGTGGTATTTCCTCCCAATAAGACTAAAAGTGCTTTGCAGAAATTGTTCTCAAATGTTGTATTCGTAATCAGAGTCTTTGAATTCTTCAAAAGCAGCATCATCACGGCCGTCGTGCAAGGAATAATCCTGTTTGAATCGATGATAGAATTTTTGCATGTCAATGAAGCTTGACCCGTGATCACTATTATTCCTAGAAGACCGAAATTCTCCCGAAATGCACAGGTATCCAGAGTTACATTATTTAATCCAAAGTTTTTTAAGGAAACAAGAATACTACAACCAGCCATATTTA